TTTCTTTCTTCTAATTTCAGGAGGTCTAAAGGAATTTTTAAAAAAACATTTAACACTAGCTCATCAGTGTTGGGGAAATGTGTGTGTAGGCCACAGTCATACCTTCCTTTAAAGCTCTGTGGTTTCCCAGGGTGCTCACATTGGTGACTGGTCCAGCACAGAATAGGTCCTGCATCTTAGAATGTATGGGTGAGGAACCCTAATAGATTAGCAATGTCACTGTCTGTAGCTTTAGGTAAAATTCTGCAAATTATTTCTCTGCAATAAGAAAGGCTAATATTTATTAATTATTTACAATGCAGTAGCAAATATGTAATATTTCTTTTAATCCTCACAACAATCCTGTAAGGTAGATACTATTACTGTCCTTATTTTAAAGAAGAGGAAACTGAGATATGGAGAGATTAAGTAATTTCTCTGAGATCATAATGCTGGAATTTGAACTTTAGTCCAACTCAACAGCGGGTAGGTACTCTTTATGCATATGTTATCCTGCAGTGCAGTCTCTTATATCTATTTATATCACCTTACTTAACACCTTCAATGAAGAACACTTCTGATCTTAATATTTTTTGATCCAAAACCTCTAAGTGGCTTCCTATACCTAGATAAGAAGTGAAAACTCTTTAGCTTGTAATATTAGGCTGTGGTTTCAATATCCTACTCTGGCCTTATCTTTTACAACTCTTTTGCATATATCTTAATCTCTAATTACACAGTGCTCCTAAAATTTCTCAGAGTTGCCCCATATATTTGCTTCTGCTGAGAAAATTCTTTTTACTTCTTTAACCACTAAATCCTACTATATTTCAGACATTTTCAGTCCCAGGTGAAAGGCCACTTCCTCTTGAACTTTTATGGTAACTTCAATAAATCCTCCCTTCATTTAACTGTTAGAATACTTTATTTTATACTTCTTACAGCACTCACCACATATTTTCCTGTTGCCATGGTTTGAACGTAATATATCCCTCCAAAATTCATATGTGATAGTATTAAGAGGCAGGGCCTTCTGGGAAGTAATAAAGTCATGAGTGTTCCATCCCATGAATGGGATTAGTGCTTTTATAAAAGAGGCTGAGGGGGTGTCCTACTCTCGTTTTGCTGTTTTGCCCTTCCACCATGTGAGGGCGCTGCAAGAAGGCCTTCAGCAGACACTGAATCTGCTAGCACCTTAATCTTGGACTTCCCAGCCTCTAGAACTGTGAGAAATAAATTTGTGTTATTTATAAATTACCCAATATGTGATATTTTGTTATAGCAGCAGGAATGACTAAGACTCTATAAACGAGTTATTTATTGTATTTGCTATCACCACTCCCAGATTATAGCAACATGAAGGCATGCACATTAGGTAATTTTTAAATCTCCTTTGTCATACAAATGCCCTATAAAAGCTCATTAAATGAATGGTTTTAATTATGCAATAGGGTTATAGAAAGAAATTTTTAAAAAAATAACACAGAGGGAGACATCTCAAAGATTGAGCAGTAGAATGAATACATGTGTTTATCTCTTCTCCATCCTAAAAATCTCATGTGTTAAAATAAATGGTGCTATGAGAAATAACCAGCAGATTAGGTACCCTGAAAGATTCTTTCAGTCAAACTAGTTGAAATGCTAGATAAAACATTTTGAAAACATCTTTATAAATGTATGGCTGAGATGGCATAAAATAAACAAATCTATAGAGCTCGCAAATGAAGTAAAAGTATGAACCATGGTAGCCAAACTACCTTCCTAGCGGGATTTACCCTAAAGGTTTCTTTCTAATTCTGGAGACCTTGAGCATCTGCTTTGATAGTTGCATGGAGATTTTGAGGGAAAGGAGATGAAGCCTAACAGATATACAAAATGAAAAGTCTAATAGAAGAAACCTGCATAAAATAGAATCTCAAATGGCCACTTTTGGGAAGCGTACATGAGAACATACTCACTCAGCTGTTTGTAAGGAAAATTGTCTCTGTCAATCTTGGCAGTGAATAATAGTAAAAGAAATAACTTTCTAAAGAATTTATAACCACAACTCAAAACTTCATGCAGGTTAGTCATTGAACTCATGCTACCTATGTGTTCAAGAAAACCTCAGTCAGAGCTTTTAAAGTGGTCCTTAGTTGGTAGTGCCTCAAACTGAGTGATGGAAACAAATGCTAATTTTCATTGGAGGAGCCCAACTTCAACCTAGGGGTTACAGAACTCCCATAAATAAAGTACATAGAAAAATCAGTAGTTCCAGGCAAAACCCACAAAGTGAAAGAAATGAGATCCAGAAACAGACCCATAAAACTTCAGGTATGAGATTGTTAGAAACCAAATACAAAATAACTTGAATATATTTAAGGAAATAAAAGAGAATCTTTAGAATATGAGTAAGAAACAAGTGACTACAAAGAGCCACAAACCAAATTTAAAACAGAAATAGTCTTTCTAGAAATGAAATAAATATAGTTAGCATATGAATACATCTAAACAAATATTCACTGCAAAGATAGCAACAACAAAATCATGGCTAACAGAAATGAAACAGTTCAGAATTTTCAAAACTAGGCAGCAACAGCAAATTATAATCCTTTTAAAGATGAGAACAAAGATGGTATTGTTGATTTTGTTAAGAATGCATGTTGAATAGCTAGTGTAACATATAAAAACATAGATTTAGATAATACAATTTCCAGATAAGTAAAGGGGAAAGAATGAAATGAGAAAAGAAGAAAAAGATAAATTCAAAAGATGGCAAGAAAGAAGAGAAAACATGACTAAAAAGTGCAGGATAAATGGAAAGGACATAATGAAATGGAAGAAATGATCCAATTCTATACATAATCACAAAAAATATAAGTAAACCAAACTCTGCAGTTAAGGACAACAAATGTATGAATAAGATTTTAAAAATTTAGTTATATGCTGTTTATAAGTGATACATTAACTCTAAGAACACAAAAATATTCAAAGTTAGAAAAAATTTAAAAAAGTACTAGGCCAATACTAATTTTTAAAAAGTTACTGTAGCTACATTCATGAACAAATTAACTCTATGGAGAAAATAATTTTGAGAGAACAAGAGGATCACTCAGGATACTATACCGATTTTGACACCACAGGTAGGATATCACAATTCTAAACTTGTATGTTGCTAATAAAACAGCCTAAAAAGTATGTAATATAAAAACTCGACAGAACTACAGGGAGAAGTTTATACATCCACCATCACAGCGGGAGATATTTAACACTCTCAGTAATTGATTGATCATGTGGGCAAAAAATATTCAGGCTATAGATGATCTGAACAGCACTTTAACATAATCAGTTGACAGATATGAAGCATTTCATGTAGCAAAAGCAGAATATGCAACCTTTTCAAGTACATATGGGATATATTAAAAAAAATGATCACATGCAAGGCCATAATACCAACTTTGTATTTGAAAGGACAGGCACCAAACAAACAGTATTTCTTGACCACAGTGCAATTAAATTAGGTATTGACAACAAAAGGAACTAGAAACACCTGTATTTTGGGAAATTAAAAAAATCTTCTAACTAATTTATGGGTTGAAATCATATTCATATTGGAAATTAGAATGTATTCTCAATTGAAAAATTACAAAACTCTACTAAATCTTGTGGGATACAACTCAAGCAGCACTTGGAAGGAAGTAGGAAGTCTCAATAGTCTTATAAGCATTACAGAAATTGAATGTGGTTTTTAAATCTCCTATATAAAATATGAGGCATATTCTAATAAATGTTTACTGTATAAATGTTTACTGTTTTTATTTGTTACACTAGCTATTCAAGCATTATCTCTTCAAATACTGCCTCTTCCCATTCATTCTAACCTTTCCTTTTATCATTCCAGTGACTCAACCTCTCCTCCATGTTTGTTAATATTTTTAAAACATTTTCTACCTCTGTGTCTCTTCCCTCTTCAGGGAGGGAAGAGCCTGGGCCCCTAAGCCATTTCCTCTAGATAGAAACTTGGTAACTCTTTGCTGTTTTCTCTGGCATAGCCCTGATGGAGATCCAGGCAAGCAAGAACTCACTCTGAAATATAGGGGCTGTTGGGTCTAGGCTGTCGACCTCAGCTTAATACAAGAGCCTGAAGCTTGTTCCACAGAGACAGGTTCTAGCGTAGGCTGTGGCGGAAGCCATCAGTTTCTCTGGTACTGACCAACCTGGCACAGTTTCATGTCTTGGGATTCAGAGCTGAACACCTGAGGATGAACTAGTAGAGCTGGAATCCTGGTTAAGGTACCCCAGGCAGTGACTGTGAACTGACTGGATGTACCCATATGTGCCCAGCCACTGTACTTTGAAGTTTAATTGACCATTCTGAACTGAGCAAGCGCTTGAGATTCTTAGGTAGTGGGGTGGGGGGGTTGCAGGTGGGGAGAAAGACTTTAGGAGGGAGAAACTGGACTTGCTGCTAATAAAGACAGTGGTGGTCTTGAGCAATGAATTTATACCTTTAATATGTCAAATGACTCATATGGATTATACTTTTAAAAACGACCATCGGGCCAGGCAATTTGGCTCACGTCTATAAACCCAGAACTTTGGGAGGCCAAGGTGGGCGGATTGCTTGAGCCCAAGAGTTCAATACCAGTCTGTCTCTACAGAAAATACAAAAATTAGCTGGGTGTGGTGGCGCATGCCTGTGGTCCCAGCTACTGAGGAGGCTGAGGTGGGAGGATCACTTGAGCCCGGGAGGTCAAGGCTGTAGTGAGCTGAGATTGCACCACTGCAGTTTAGGCTGGGAGACAGCGAGACCTTGTCTCAAAACAAACAAACAAATAAATAAGTAAATAAATAAATAAAAACAAAGATCTGCCATATGTCACCCCCTGTTAACCTGTGCTGATCCTTGTAGTTGATTTAGGCATTAAGAAAACATTAAGAAAGAATCAAAGGAGGTGGACCAAGGGGTAGAAGGAATTTGGAGTAAAGAAAACAAGAGCCAGAGGTGAGGGAGGGTTGGCGATGCAGCTCACTCTACTCACTGGGCTGGTGTGCGTTCCAGTGTGTGTACTGCACCGGCTCAGGTTTCCGCCCTGCTGGCTTCCAAGTGTATTCTCCTGTATCATTTTGGTCTTGAAGAGCTATCCAAAAATAACTGTCCTTCATTTTTACCACACTACTGATCAAACTGGTAATAAAAGCCTGTTCAAACCTTAAAAGGGGAAAAAAGAAGTGATTATATTAAGTTTCTGGGCAATAAAAAAAGTCATTAAAGCATAATGAAGTGCACAGAATGGCCCCAGAGTAAGCGTTTCTCATTAATTCTTTAGAACATGGAGCAGGAAAACACCCAAAGACCCTGAACATTACTAATAAATGCCGAATGTCAGTGCAATTCCCAGAAATACATGAGTGAGGAGAATCTGACTCTTGCATATGGGGCTTAATTCTTGCACGGAATAAAGTCCAGCTCCAGTTTCAAAGCACAGGTGGTAAAGTTCATATGGCCAGCAATGCATTTCTTGGAGTACGATGTGGCTTATTTTGTAATTAGGCCACACACCACACAAACCATGCCACAATATGCATGCGGTAAGGGTGGGCAGAAGGGAGGAGGAAAGATATTATGCTTTTCTGAATGAGCATTTACTAATACAGAGTTCACATGCACCCACCTACCATACTTGCCTGGGGAGAAAGAAACAGAAATTAAAGTAGCAATTTTATGTCTCCCAAATCAGTGTGTTCATAGGCACAGGTAGGTCTCAGGTTATTCAAATGTGTTTAAATCTGCATGTTCACTGAAGAAAAATGTGAAAGCCCAGGAACTAATCTAAAGCTCTACATCCACTAATGTACTTCCCAAACAGTTGAATGAATTACTGTTTAATGATTGGTGGCAGTGCCCCCTTTCCAGTATGAATGCGTCAAAAGCAGAATCTAGAAAACTTACATACATGCTTCCACATGCACACCTACCAAGAAAATCATGACTATTAAAACTTAACTAGCATTGAACCTTTCAGCTAAGTTGAAACTATCTTGAGAAAGCTATTTTTAGAACATATAAAGTTAGAAGAAACACATTTGAAACAGTGGTGACTTCTGGGCAGATCTGCTGAGTCAGTGGGAAAGCAAAGGCTGAAGCCAAACCTAAGGAGAAAGCAAATTAGACCTTTTTATTCAATTTTGGTGGTTTTTTTCATTACTGTGCATCCTTAACTTGCTAAGGGAAGCAAAAGCAATGGGGTCATTTATGAATAGAGGAGTCTCAAAGGAAATAGGAGATAAAAAGAGAGAAGAATAAAAAGAAGGAAAATTTTTAAGTGCTTTACAGATATTAGCAACATTTAGAGATCTTAGGCATTTATGGTACTCATCTTTGCAGGGGAAATGGATTTTCATCATGCTTTAGTAAATATTTTCTGCAGATACTCTATTAATAACCTAAATAGCACACAGTTGAAACAGGAAAAGTTCTTTTTTTTAAATCCAGATCATACTGGCAGAACCTTATATAAATGTGCTTCAAAAGAAATGTATAGAAGACTAAATATTGCCTACATGCTGTTGTAATTTTCCTTACACTTCAGTTGGTTCATGCTCTCAATAATATACGATCTGCTTTTCTGTATCTTCTCCAAGGCAGAGTAAGTAATACAGGGTCAGGAAAGTGCTGGGAGGAGAAGGGCAGGGTTCCTGGTTAGGGCTCCACCCCCGGCCTGTGCCCCCAGACCTAGGTGAAAACAAGCATTTCTGTTTTCGTGCCCAAATGTTGCATTTCCCAAGACCACCCTGGCTCGCCACGCCCCCATCCTGTGCCTATAAAACCCCCAGAGACCCTAGTGGGAAGAGAGACAAGCGGCTGGACATCCAGAGGAACACACCGGTACAAGAGCACACCGACAGGCACCGGCAGAGGCCGGCAGGTCATCGACAGGAAGAATGATGTGGAGTTTGGCCAGAAGGAAGTTAAGAAAATAACTCCACTTACAATAGTGCCCCCCAAATACATAGGAATAAACTACACAAACGAGAAAGACTTGTATACTGAAAACTGCAAAATGGTGAAGGAAATTAAAGAAGCCACAAGGAAATGGAAATAAATCCGGTGTTCATGGCTTGGAAGACTTAATATTGTTAAGATGCTTATACTACCCAAAATGATCTATATATTCAATGCAATCCCTATCAAAATCCCAATGATATCTTTTTCAAAAATAGAAAAGTTCATCCTAAAATCCATATGGAAATTCAAGGAACCCTGAATAGCCAATATAATTGTGAAAAGAAACCAAGTTAGAGGTCTGATATTTCTTGATTTCCAAACTTACTACAAAGCTACAGTAATCAAGACAGTGTGGGCTGGGCATATTGGCTCATGCCTATAATCTCAGCACTTTGGGAGACTGAGGCAGGCAGCTTGCTTGAGCCCAGGAGCTCAAGACTAGCCTGGGAAACATAGTGAGATCCTGTTGCTACAAAACATAAAAAACATTTGCTGTGAGTGGTGGCGGTAGATGCCTGTAGTCCCAGCTACTAGGGAGGTCAAGGCGGGAGGATGGCTTGAGCCCAGGAGGTCAAGGCTCCAGTGAGCTATGATGGAACCACTGTACTCCAGCCTGGGTGATAGAGTGAGACCCTGTCTCAAAAACAAAATGAAACAAAAAACCAGTGTGGTACTAGCATAAAGACTAACACATAGGCCAGTGGAATAGACCAGGAATAAACCCTTGCATATATGTCAAATGATTCTCAAGAATGGTGCCAAGACTGTTCAGTGCAGAAAGGACAGTCGTCTCAATAAACCGTGTTGGGAAAACCAGACATCCACTTGCAACAGAATGAAGTTAGACCCTAACCTTATACTATGCACAAAAACGAACTCAAAGTAGATTAAAGACCTAAACATAAGAGCTAACACTATAAAACTCTTAAAAGGAAACATAGGAAAAAGGCTTCATTGTATTTGGCAATGATTTCTTGTATTTGATACCAAAAGCACAGGCAACAAAATAAGAAATGAATAAATTGGACTTCATCAAAATTAAAAACTTTGTGCATCAAAGGACACTATCAATGGAATGAAAAGGCAACCCACAAAATGGGAGAAAGTATTTGCAAGTTATACATCAGATAAGGGATTAATATCCAGAATATATTGAAAATTCCTATAACTAAACAATAGAAAAGACAAATATCCCAATTAAAAAATGGGCAAAAGACTTGAATAGACATTTCTCCAAAGAAGATATACAGCTAGCCAATAAGCACGTGAACATGAAAAGATGTTCAACAGCATCAATCAGTAGCGAAATGCAGATCAAAACCACAGCGAAATACCACTGCACACCCAGTAGGATGGCTATTATCAAAACAAAACAACCAGAAAATAGTAAGCATTGGCTAGGATGTGGTGAAACTGGAACCCTTATGCACTACCGGTGGGAATGGAAAATGGTGCAGCCATTATGGAAAAGAGTATGGTGGTTCCTCAAAAAATTTAAAATTAAATTATCATATGATCCAGCAATTTCACTTATAGGCATACACGCCAAAGAATTGAAAGCAGGGACTCAAAGGGTATTTGTACATTCATGCTCATAGCAGCATTAGTCACAATAGCCAAATGGTGGGAGCAACCCAAATATCCATTAATGGATGAATAGATAAACAGTATGTGTATATACATACAATGGAATATTAATTAGCCTTAAACAGAAAGGAAATGCTGACACTACAACATGCTAAGTGAAATAAAGCAGACACAGAAAAAACATAATGACACTTACATGAGACACCTAGATAGTTAAACTCACAGAGACAGAAAATAGAATAGTAGTTGCCAGGGTCTGGGAGGAGGGGGAATAGGCAGCTATTGTTTAACGGGTGCAGAGTTTCAGTTGGGGAAGATGAAAAGAGATCTGGAGATGGATGATGGCAGTGGTGAACAACAATGTGAATGCGGTTAACACCACTGAACTGCACACTTAAAAACGACTAACATGGTGAATTTTATGTTTGTGTGTTATGTATATTTTACCACAATAAAAAATATTAACTGCAAAAGTGTTTTGGGGAGATATGACAGTTGCAGGAAAATGGGAGAGCTGTAAAAATGCTTTAAAATAATGCACATTTAAGCTTAGGAGAGGCACAGTGGCTCACGCCTATAATCCCAGCACTCTGAGAGGCTAAGGCAGGAGGATTTCTTGAGCCCAGGAGTTCAAGACCAGCCATGGCAACATGGCAAGAATCTGTCTCTACAAAAAAATTTAAAAAATTAGCCGGGCATGGTGGTACACGCCTGTAGTCCCAACTACTTGGGGGGCTGAGGCAGGAGGATTACTTGAGCCCAGGAGGTCAAAGCTGCAGTGAGTCATGAAGGCACCACTACACTCCAGCCTGGGCAACAGAGTGAGACACTGCCTCAAAAATAAATGAAAGTAAAATAAACTTAGGAGAAAAGGAGATATTGCAGAATTTCTCACTTTTGGCAAAATTCACAAAATTGAATGCCATTTGGATTATTTTGTACCAATATTCCATGGCTGATTGATTCAAAATTTAGACATACATGGATTTAGCCAATTATGCGTTATAATTTTGGAACTCAACTTCTGCATTCATGCTTTGTCTGGAAGCAAAGTGGCCAGGCCTGAAAAGATTTTGTAACAATCAGCAAGCAAATACAAATTTGTTACTCAACAATAAGGATCTGTTTTTCTTCCCCTCTCTATTCCACAAAGTGTTAAAAGTCTTAGACCAGGAGCAGTTGCCTGATCACAAAAGAAATAAGTAATTTGTAGCAGGTGGTTCTAATTGTGCCCATCAAACTTGTCATTCCATTGTGCAGAAGAGTGGAAAATCAATTAGCAACTACAAGCTTGGGTACTGAAGAGTGACAGGAGTGTCTTAACTCAAACAGGAAATCAGTAATGGAAGAAAATGATTACCATGGCCGTTAGTGGACACTCCTGGATCTGAAAGACTTTCTGTCTACTGCCAAACTTTCTCAGACAAAAGATGCTGTTTGCAAAAATTCCAATGTGTATTGCGAATCAAAAGTAGTACAGTGTGGACCCTTGTTTCTTCCCTGATGGGGTCTGAATGATTAAAAATCAAGAGCATTGGCCCTTCCTTTCTTCAACTCGTGAGTCCTGTGTGGGAGTCGCTGCTTTGAATGTAGACATGTCTGGGGGTAGCATAAGTATCTGTTAACTGACTTGGACAGATGACACATCCTTGTCATCTGTATTCCCTCAGGGCTTGGCTGGTGACCAGGCAGCACACCAGCACAGGGCAATCTGGACAGGCCTAGGAGGCCACGACTGGGATAAAAACAGACTTCCTATGCCATAGTTCTGCTTTAGAGCTGGATCGGGCATGAGCGCTGGCTACTGACTACAGTTTACCAGAGAAAACATTTAAAAGTATTCACAACATAGTCTTGTATCCAGTTTTGGGGAAAATGAAACAGATTTTTTTTCTCAGATACTTTCTGTCATTTGTATGAGGTCCCCAAAGGGTTTATAGAATGTGAAGCATTTGTTCTAACAGATTTCTGCCTTAGCTTGGGTCACTTTGGTGCTATGGGTTATCTATAATGTCACTCTGAGTTTATCCATTTATTGTGCTATTCTACCTTCTTCACTTATTTCTTGTGTCTGTTCTATCTCTTCAGCTGCTGGGTTTCAGAAAGCACTGGACAATAATAGCATGCCTTTTATTTCTTGTGTGTAGCATGTCAGCGTTTAATATGGGGCCTCTCACAAAATAGGTATTCAAAAAATAATTTTCTAATAAACTGTTGGCTATTAATTTTTTTGTGTGGTCAGGTAACATATGAAAAATAATTAACACAGTGCCAGGTATGTGGCAGGCACTCAATGAACATTAAACAACAAAAAAAAGAATAAGACAAAAAAACCAGGTGAAACAATTAGACTTATTTTCTTTGGTAAAAAAACATAATGAAATTGTCATTAACAAAAGAGCATATAGCTTCATTGGTCAGGCTCCTGTAAAGTCCAATGTTGACTCACTGACTGGGGGACTTCCAACCCAGGGTGCTCTTGGAACCTTTTGGGTGAGTTAATAAATTGGTAAAGGCTTTCTTCTGCCTGTTAGCCAAACCTGTTGGGAGAAAGGTAAAACTAAAAACAATGCTGAAATACATCAAAAGTAGTGCTATATTTCCATGGGAGGATCTCCTGAAAGTAAAATGTTTTGCCAGGTGATTTAGTCTGCCAAATGCTATCAATATCAATCCATTTGAGTGTGTGTGTGTGTGTGTGTGTGTGTGTGTGTGCATGCCTGTGCATTGTTTGGAACACAAGTGAAAGTAAGAGGGTAAGAGGAGGAAGGACATACTGGCAGCTTTGGATGTTGACTTCCAATGTGGGAGGAGCAGAGAAATTATACAGGAATTCCTCTACAAATTAGACTTACATGGGAAGGGTCTCTAGGTAAAACCAGTTGTCCTATTTGCTGGTATTCAGTGAATATTTTTAAAGGCAATGGCCCAGGCAAATATGCAAGTGACTTGCTTTGCAGCTGTAGTTTCTTGTGTCACCACTGGAGTTCTACCCTGCTTCTGTCTTCCCCAGGAGGAATGGGTCTCCCAGGTGTTCCAGCCCCCACTGTCCTCCTGGCATCAATAGTGATATGAGGTCACCTTTGCTCTTGGTACTTTTATCCCCTACAGGTATTATGCATCGGTAGCATGCTGCAGATTGTATGGAGTGTAAAAAGGGCACAGTTTCTGTGCCAGCATCAGGAAGGCATATGTGCACAGAGAGGTCTCAATCTAAATAAAATAGAAGAAGTGATGGTGAGGGATTTGAATATCCTCTACATATTATAGTTTCTTTTCTGCTAAAAACACCCTGATACAACTCACATACATTACATTAAAAAAATACTTGTTAAGTAATGTGTTTTGGCTGAGCACGGTGGCTCATACCTGTAATCCCGGCATTTTGGGAGGCTGAGGCACTTGAGGTCAGGAGTTCAGACCAGCCTGGCCAACATGGTGAAACCCTGTCTCTACTAAAAATACAAAAATTAGCAGGGCGTGGGGGCGGGTGCCTGTAATCCCAGCTACTCATGGGGCTGAGGCAGGAGAAATGCTTGAACACAGGAAGTAGAGGTTGCAGTGAGCTGAGATTGCGCCACTGCACTCCAGCCTGGGCAACAGAGCAAGATTCTGTCTCAAAAAAAATGAAATAAAATAAAATAAAAAATAAATAATGTGTTTCTTTTCCAGTATAAGCAGTTAGAAGATAAAATCTAAAAACATCTGAATATATTAGAAAAGCTGGATAATTAATAAATCTTTATGGAAAGTAAAGGTCACCTTAAATTTTATTATTTATTACTCAAAAACCAATTCTGGAATAACGCAGTATAATTTAAATTCATCTCAATAAATAATTAAAATAATTTTGTACTTTGATGTACAGCACGATTTAGATTTTGACGAGTTATGATTGTAGCTAGATTTTATCATTCCAAGAGCCCTCATGTCAAAGCCGTCTTGTTTCTGTTAAAAGAAATTTAATTTACCTGTTTGTAATGGTTACAAGTGCAGGAGGACAGTAATAACCACTGGAAGCTTGGTCAAAGCTTCGAAGGACTGTGTCAATTTTGTAACAGAATCCACCATGTCTCTCCCATCCCTTAAAAAGAATCAAAGGGAAATTAAGGACACAATCTGATTTAGTTAAATACCAAGAGATATTTTTGCATACTCTTTTACCACCTACATGACTGTCTTCTCTTACTCCTTTAAAACTCCTTGAATTTTTGTCTTGATATTTTTATATTTCTTCTATCTGGTAACACCATTAACTACAGCCACTTCCACATTTATTTGATTTATTATCTTAAAACCTAAAATTTTTAATTTACTTAAAATGTGAAACCTTAAAAGTAAATGAAAATAAAGGGCACTCATTCGAGATCTCTGCCTCTCTCTCTCTCTCTCTCTCTGTCTCTGTCTCTGTCTCTCTCTTTCTCTCTCTCCCCCCCTCTCTCACCCCCGCCTTACTTACAGAATTTCATATAAATGGCCCTGACAGGAGGGTAGAAATTAAGTGTTGACTCTAGGGTCAGGATGCGTGGGTTTGAATTCTGGCTCCACTACTGTGTAACCTTGTTTAATATCTTAGTTTTTTCATCTATACAATGAAGATAATAATAGTATTTATGGGGCTGTTCTGAGAATCAGAGAAGGACAATGGAGATAGAGATTTCAGAATTGAACAGCGGGGAAAGAGAACATGAACAAAGAGAATATGTATCTAGATAATATTATAGATTTTTCCAACTTTCATATTGATTATTTCATGTAATCAATATGAAATTCATTTGATTCATTGAGATTCATTGAGATTAGGGACTTGGATAAAGTCAAACTAGTGGATCAGCTGGGCCTGAAACCCAATTCTGGCACAGTCCAGGATGGTCTTGTTTGGAGCATAATGCTTCCAAATAGAAAATGGCCAATATATGTATTTTTTCTTTCTTTTTTGTAAAGATTATTACTAAATTAACTGGCTCGCCTTTTAGAGGGGAAGAAAGTAAGCTTTGGCACTCAGACAATAATGACAAACACGCAGGTCTATGTCTTCACCCTGCGAACAATGAAGGGCGGCTCTATTCTTTGAAATCATGCAGTACAGTCTACGGCCATGCCACCCTGAACGTGCCCGATCTCATCGGAAATCATACAGTATGAAAGACATACATTCATTCGTCCTCTATATTTAAACTGAGCTATTTTAGTTCTTTTTTTCCCCAATATTATGATCACATGATTTTTATCTATTTTAATTTATTCATCAGTTTTAAAACACTCTTCATTTTATGCTATGCCAATACTTGTCAGCTTTTGATCAGTCATAACATGATTTCTCATAAATTTCTTGGAAAAGATTGTGGTCTTGCGGTAAATTAAAGAAAACCTTAATTTAGAAATCAGCTATGTTAGTTCAAACATATCATTAACTGAGGTGGGAAGCACAGGAGCTCCCACATCCAGCCATCTAGGATCTGCTCTGAACTCACTCTCTTCCACCTCTATTCCCAGTCTTCTCTCTGTGAGTACCTGACAGCTCCATACAGCTCCTTCAGGCATCCCTCCAGGATAGGAGCAGGGATGTTAGACTGCTCCTGCACTTGGAAGGACAGGGAGAGGGAGGCTGGCAATCTGACCTTTCTGATAATGTATTTCTTCTTCGTTAGAAGTTTTTAGATCATAGGCTGCTTAGCAAACAAAAAAATCCAGTAACTGAACAGGCTCAAGAAAAGGGAGGGAAAAATAGATCTGGCATAGAATAATCAGAAAAACAGACTTGTTACTTCAAGGCTTTGTCCACACAATGAATGTGGGAAGGATAACTGAGTATATCAGTTAACCCTTTGTACACTAGGTGCTATTTCATTTTTAAATGAAAGGATGGTGGTGACAAGACTGAAGGAATTGCTCATATTGTCCAATCCCAAAAAAGTGACTCAGAAGGAAAAACAAATCACTTTTTTTTGCTTTGAAATTATCAAGATTGATTTTACAAATTGATTTTTTAAGTGCAGACTGTTTAGAGAATTGCATTGAAGCAACGTTCTAAGAAAGAGAAAACTTTCAAAACCATATTCATAGACTGATGCATAATAAAATTAATGGAAATTTCCTCACAAAGCTAGAGAACTGGCTATGAACTCAGAAACTTTAAATACTGCTAATGCTGGCTGGAAAACGGAAGCCGTGAACAAAAGTTTGAATAGAACATCAGTTCTGCTTCTGCAGTGTAAAAAGTTAATTGTCCTTTCAACAAAAATAAAACACGTTGAGTTTCCCGGGAAGCCACAGTAAGACAAATACCGCCACCCTCGCCCCTGCCCCATCTTCAATATTTCAGATCAGGTAGAGATTAATCAGATATCAGCTATAATTCAGAAATTGTAATCATTAGATAAAATGATGACATGTCAGCTATGGCACATCTATTATCCAGCTAGAGTATGAAGAGTAGTTCACATGTTTACACATTGATTAACGAATAAAATGAAGATTCTAAGGGGATGGGTCATTGTTCAATTGCAACACAAATAATTGGATTAGAAGAGAAAATAATTAAAGCATAGTTGCATAAAAACCAGGTCTGGAAAACTGTTGAGACTGATACAGCATAGTTCACTCTGACTCAGAGGAACACAATTGTTTTCTGACACCTCACTTGAAAACTAGGAAAACCATAGGTCAGGCACAGTGGCTCAAGCCTGTAATCCCAGTACTTTGGGAGGCCGAGGAGGTAGATCACTTGAGGTCAGGAGTTCGAGACCAGTCTGGCCAGCATGGCAAAATCCTGTCTCTACTAAAAATACAAAAATTAGCCAGGCGTAGTGGCGCATACTTGTAGTCCCAGCTACTCGGGAGACTGAGGCACGAGAATTGCTTGAGCCTAGGAGATGGAAGTTCAGTGAGCCAAGATCGCGCCACTGCACTCCAGCCTGGGTGACAGAGCAAGACTCCATCTCAAAAAAAAAAAAAAAAAAAAAAAAAAAGAAAGAAAGAAAGAAAGAAAACTAGGAAAATCAAGTGTGAGACAGCATCACACAGACAGGATAGTCACTGTACAGATGCTGTATCAGGACCATTTACATTTTTAATCTCAAAAGAAAAGCAATCCCGTGTAGAAGATAGCAAGACAATGTTTCTCAGGACAAGAAAAAAAGAGGAAAGGAAAGAAGGGGGGTTGGGAGAGAGAGAGAGCAAGAGAGGAGAGAGAGATAGAGAGAGAGGAGAAAGAGAAATTCACTTCAAATTGATGGTGGAATTGGTATCTAGCTATGAAGTTCCTGTACCTAAATTGCAATGTTAACAGCATTTACCTCTTGACATCCTGATTCAGCATCAGAGAGGACTTGGCCTGCTTTTTTACAAATGTAAAAAAGTGTTTCTTCACAATTTTTGACTTTCCAGTGTCCCTCCTACGGAGAAAAATGTTACAAGAGAATGAATACACTCTGTGCTGATGCTGGTGGGCCATAGCAATTCTTACAAATAAAAATATGATGAATAATGTGCTCCCGCATGGGATAATGTTTCAGGCAGCACCCCACTTTGTCATGGAAAGGGTTCACACTTTCTCTAGGGATGGGAGGCCCCTCTCTCCAGCACGAGTTCCAAGGTGTTCAATCTGTAACTGAGTGGGCGGGAGAGAGGAAGCAACTATCAACAACTGGTGCTTCTTGATAGCTGCCATGTGCTGGCTTAATGCAGGGCGATTTTCATCTATTATCTCAATGCTCCAGTGAAGTAGGGATTGTTATTCCCTTTTTAAAGGTTAGAGTTAGCATTTTACATGGTCCTAGAGTCAGTAAAAATTGGAGCTAGGATTAATACAAAGGTCAGCCTGGCTTTCCATTAAGCTGTTCCCAATTTTTCTGTGAAAAGATGGGTTACAGCCACTGTTCTCAATCTCGGGTGTGCTCCAGAAGCACCTGAAGGGCTAACTGAAACCTAGCTGACTGGGCTGCATGACCAGTGTCTCATTCAGTAGGTCTGGTGGGACTTGAGAATTGGCATTCCTAACAAACTTTCAGGTGGTGTTAATGCTGTTGGTCTGGGGGTCACACTGTGAGAACCACTGGGATGAAGCCATCCTCCTGACCAAGTGAGAGTGCTGATACCTCTCTTCAACCAATTCTAAGTGTTACATTAAATGCTTTGCTGCTTTCATGTCTCTACCTGATGCTGGGGAAATTCCTAGAAGCTACCATGAAGCACCCTAGGTAATACTGGCATAGATGAAATTCACGTTCACCCTTCAGTGATCCCTCCATCAGGAATTCGAACAGCACCACCCCATCTCCTCTTTATATGCTAGGCAGATACTTTCATGTTTTTCTGTAGTCCTATTGAAGGCTACTCTCAGATCTTTCATTAATAATGATATAATAATTGCTAACAGATTAAAATTTTATCTTCCTGTAGGATTTTTTTTAATAACACAAATCAGAACCTTAGGCTAAAGTTACACAATTCAAATTCCAGGTGGTATTTCACACATCTAGAATTTTAGGGGAATGTGGAGCCCTTCCATGACCCTTAGAAAAATACAACATCCAGAGCTGACACCTTCATCCGTAAGAGGAGCCCTGCTTCGCTCCCCCAGGGAGTCTTCCAGCAAACCATCCAGTTACAGGATAGTGTCGGGCATTCTGCAGTTAAGAACTGTTAGATGAATGGAAGAACAAATGAATTGTTTCCTAGGCTCTCATATTCAAATTTGTGTCAACTGTGATTTGTTAACTTGTTAATTATAATAATTATATTCATACTGAGTTCTACTCCAGGAAATAAATGTTATTTTTTATACATCTACTATTCAAGGAGCTTCTGAGTTGCCAGAAAAGGGGCCACAAAATATTACACTTATGGCAGCATTGTCCTGACATGTCCAATACTATTAATACCTATCCTCAATCTCTTAAAATAATCTCTGTCCAAATACTGGTTCCTGTTCTGTAAACTTGCAGAGCAACATACCCATGCCTGTCAATAAGAAATGATCACCTGAATTATATCAAAACTAATGAACCAATAAATCAGCAGATACTGTGGAATAAACTGTGGTGGGCCAGGCGCGGTGGCCCACACCAGTAATCTCAACACTTTGGGAGGCCAAGGAGGGTAGAGTCCAGGAGTTTGAGACCAGCATGGGCAACATGAAACCCCACCTCTACTAAAAATACAAAAATTAGCCAGGTGTGGTGGTGCACGCCTGTAAACCCAGCTACTCGGGAGGCTGAGGCATGAGAATCACTTGAATCCAGGAAGTGGAGGATGCAGTGAGCTGAGATCGCACTACTGCACTCCAGCCTGGGTGACAGAGTGAGACTCTGTCTCAAAAACAAACAAACAAACAAACAAAACATTGTGGTGGATTTCAGCAGAGCTAGACCCAAGACAAACATTGAGAGGTATTGTTTCTCCTTCTTCATATGGGGCTGAGAGACACGGCCTTAGCATGTATAACTGTTACTGCACTGTACAATTGTAATTGTCTGTGCTAGCATTAAAAGATGAAACCATGAAACATGTCACAAAAGTTAAGTGCTCAGAAATGCTTCCTGTTTGGCTGGCATAATTACTTTGTCAAGCCATGTCAGTAACATTTAATAAACTGCCTCTTGGGGGAACTTGACAGAGTATCCCGGTGGTTAGAAGAATAAGGACATCTACCAAGTCCCAACAACCTCCTAACACTCAGCCACTGTATTCAGCAGCTATCTTGATCAAAGAGATTAAGTCTGTTTTAGGCATAATAAACTATTCAAATGGCTTGGGATTAAACTAATTCTGTATAATCCGATGTTTTAGATAAATGAGAGACTGGAACATAGGGATGAATGTGGTGTTCAGACTACTGGGACCACTCCATCCACGTGAGGAAAAGAGCAAGATTTGCCACTGATCCATAATTTTCAAAGAGGTTACACATACTGTTTAAATCCTTTTATGTGAATAAGATAAAGGAGCTTAAAAACCATCACTCTCCAGAGTAATCGTCCATCCCTCAGTTCTTCCCCTCATCTTCATCACGGCAGTCAATGGCACCACCATCCACCAAAACCGTGGTTGCTCAAGCCAAAAGCCGATCTCTCTCCCACCCCAGCATCGAACTTAGCAACACCTCCTGTTCTCCAAAGCACACTTGGATCTGTCCACTTCTCTTCACAGTCACTACCCTAACTCAACTCTGGTGTAGCCTCCAAACTGGCTTTTCTGCTTCCATTTTATCCCTCTCCTAACCATTTTCTGTGTAGCAGCCACAGTTAATTTTAAAATGTAAATCAGATCACGCCATGTGTTTCCTGGAAGCACTTTATTGATTACTATACCACAGTCTAGAAACCTGGCATTTTAGAATTCCTACTGCCCGTCTCTTACGACCTCCTCACCACTGGTCTCCTTTTTGATAATTCAACATAGCAAGTCTTGGTCTGTCTTTGGGCCTTTGCACTTGCTACCCTCTGCATGTTCTGCTTAGAATATTCTTCCCCCTTCTCTCTGAGAGTTTTTTTTTTTTTTTTTTAAGTCCAAGCTTAAATGTCAACTTTTCAGAAATGCTTTCTGTGACTATCTTGTCCTTCCCCAACCCAAGCTTTTCACTATCATGTCACATATTTCCTTGGAGCAATCATTACAACTATAATTACCACGTTTTTTCTGTGTGTACTTGTTTACTCTCTAACATGGAAGGCCCATGAGGAGCAGGGACTGTGCCTGTCTTGGTCTCTGCCATAGCCCAAGGCTCCAGCATAGGTGGACTTCAGTACAAGACCAGTAAAGTGAGCACTGAACAAATGAATCGACTTACAGACTGCTCTGCTGAGACACACAGCTGGCTTCTATTTGGAAAAATTTGCGGCTCAAGTGTGTGCCAATTAGTAAAGATGACTGAAGAGTCACTAGACCATTCAAAGGAAACTGGAATTTTATTGCTGCTCAAACCAATCCATGTTTCTGATGCATTTTCTGTAAGAGATAAATGTAAATTACTTACGGGATCCTATTATTTGCAAAGGAGATAACACCCTGGAGTTACTACCAAAATATACCACTTCACATGTGATTTCTTCTTTATTTCTTTGCATAATGAAATCTGTTTAAGTCTTGGCATAAAATGTCTGTTTAAACATTTCCCCCTCTCTGCTATGGTTTGAATGTTTGTCCTCTCCAAAATTCAGGTTGAAACTTAATCCCCAACGTGGCAATATTGAGGGGGAGCCTCTAAGGGTCGAGTGGGTCATGAAGGCTCTGCCCTGATGAATGGATTAATGGGTTAATGGATTAACTAGTTCTCATGGGAATGGTACTGGTGGCTTTATAAGAAGAGGAAGAGAGACCTGAGATAGCACACTCAGCCCCCTCTCCATGTGATGCCCTGTGCCACCATGGGACTCTGCAGAGAATCCCCACCAGCAAGGAGACCCTCTCCAGATGTGGCCCTTTGACCTTGAACTTCCCAGCCTCCATAACTGTAGGAAATAAAGTTCTTTTCTTTATAAATTACTCAGTTTCTTTGTATTCTATAATAATCAATAGAAAATGGACTAAGACACTCCCATAATATCCAGATCTGCTTGATATAGGCCTTATAAGTGAGGCAGAGTGTGAGCCAAAGCCAATGCAACAACAAAGCCTAAGCAAGTTGGATTCCTGGGGCTCTGATTTCTGCTAGAATCGTGTATGTACGTTAAGTAGATCTGAAAAGTCTGGTTTTGCTTCTGCCTAGAGAAAGGAAAAATAGGAAGACCCATTGGATTATGAAAAGGGCATGAAACAAACTTTTAATGATAGTCTAGCTTAAAGATAAGTTTTTTTCTTTTTCCCCCAACAGATGTTGGTGAGGATGCAAAAAAAGGAACACTTATACATTATTGGTGGGAATGTAAATTAGTACAACCTTTATGGAAAACAGTATGGGGATTACTCAAAGAACTAAACATAGAACTACCATTCAATCCAGCAATCCCACTACTGGATATATACCCAAAGGGAAAAAAATCATATCAAAAAGACACCTGTACTCATATGTTTATCACAGCATTATTCACAATAGCAAAGATGGAATCATGTAAGTATCCATCAGAGGAGGGCTGGATAAACAAAATATGGTTATATATATATATACACACACACATATATATACACATATATACATATATATGCATATATATACACATATATACACATATATATGCATATATATACACACACACACACATCACGGAATACTACTCAGCCATAGAAAAGAATGAAATCATGTCTTTTGCACACAGGTAGCACTTGAGGTGATTCTGCTAAGTGAAATAACTCAGAACATCAAATACTGCATGTTCTCATTTATAGGTGGGAGCTAAACAATGGGGACACATGGAGATACGGAGCAGGATAATAAACACTGGAGACTCCAAAAGGTGGTAGGGGTGAGGCTGAGGGTTGAAAAATCACCTGTTGGGTACAATGTTCACTATCTGGGTGATGGAACCGCTAAGAGGCCAGACTTCACCACTGCAATATATGCATGTAAGAAATACTCACCTGTACCTCTTAAACCTATTTTTTAAAGTATGTTTTTTCCTTTTTCTTTTTTCTGCCATGAGAAAAAAGGAGCAAAACCTCTTAAAGGAATTGAAGTGGAGTTGCTGGAAAAGGAATTAAAACTTGACAGCCTAGGTAGGAAAGAACCCTATGTGGCTGAAAGAGATGTGTAAGTGCCCTTATTGAGATAAGCAGCCCACAGGGTTCTTTAATCCCAAATGCAAAAGATTAGGAAAAATAACAGAGAAGGACGCATGTTTTCACTCCATACTAAAACCTAACAATTGAAAATGTCATCAAAGTAGATCCTGTAAATTTTTTTTGTATTTTTAAAAACTGAAAAATGAAATAAATAATTTCAGTATTTTTTCAGCAGAAGTCTATGTCAAATGCATGACACATTGAAGAGCAAGCCAACTCTGATGGACTCAGGCTGGGTAGAAGCCAGGAGCCTAAAACTCCTATACATGGGGAACAGTCTGAACATCACCTCACCAAATAAATTACCCATGTTCACCGGCTAAAATTGTTTAAATCCAATTATTTGCCTAAGGGGTTCCCTTTAGTATGTGGATTACATGATAACAACACACTACTGCTATCTAGCGGCCATAAAGCTAAATTACAGGTTTAGGTTTTTCACTAGAAGTTTTAGGAAATGAACTTTCCTACTTCACAAAAAAGTTAAAAATCATCTAATAAATGTGGCATATATGAAGATGTTACGAAGTTTCTGAACATGTATTTTGTAAAAATCCAATAAATTTGAACTCCTGAATAACATTTAGAAACTTTAAATGTATGTGTCATGAATAACCACTTTTAAATAACTTAAATTTCTTTTCAACTCTACTAATAAAAGTAGTTACTACATTATATTTTATACCTCTTAAACCAAAGGCAGCTGGGACTCACCATCTCCAAGGAGGGTTACAAGAAACTCCACCTCTGCTAATGAGGTTATATCTATTAATGCACTGTTATCAGCCTGACAAGAACGCAAAGCCTTATGCCAGGTCTTTTCTTCTTTCTGAAGTTTGTAGCAATTACGATTGTAGGGATTCCAGCCAGGCTCACAGTAGGTAGCATAATATTTCCACGCATCTTTTTCTTTTTAAACCAACAAAAAACAATGTCATTTTCCACAATTATTTTAACATTACTTATTACAGTTTATGTAAATTGCCATTAATATGATTACTTTAAAAATGTGAAAAACAGAAATATACAAAATGACATATATCATGGAATTCTAGATCTTCAGAGTTGAGAAGGGTCTAATCTATGATCTGGATCTAGATCTAGGATAAAATGAACCTCAGTATTTCATTTTCCAGAGGAGCTAGTGAAGGTACGAAGAAGTAAGGAGAGGAGGGACGGCAGCAAAATGGCCGATAGCGACACCTGTGTCAGAAGCCTTTGAACAACAGCGACTCCATCTTGTTTAGGGGCTGAGTAAAATAAGGCTGAGACCTACTGAGCTGCATTTCTAGGAGGTCAGGCATTCTACAAGATGAGACAGAAAGTCAACACAAAATACAGGTCACAAAGACCTTGCTGATAAAACAAGCTGCAGTAAAGAAGCTGGCCAAAACTCATCAAAACCAAGATGGTGAGGAAAGTGAGCTCTGGTGATCCTAGCGGCTCATTATATGCTAATTATAATGCATTAGCATGCTAAAAGACACTGCTATGACAGTTTACAAGCCATGGCAACATCAGGAAGTTACCCTATATGTTCTAAAAGGGGGAGGATCCCTCATTTCCGGAAATGGTATACTCCTTTCCCAGAAAACTCATGAATAATCTACCCCTTGTTTAGTATATAATCGAGAAAGAACTGTAAGTGTAATCAGCTGAACAGCCCAAGCTGCTGCTCGGCCTCTGGAGTAGCCAATCTTTATTCCTTTACTTTCCTGATAAACTTGCTTTCTTTTTATGGATTCGCCTCCAATTCTTTCTTGGGGTCTGGATTGGGACCCCTTTCTGGTAAAACCTGGCACTCATCCCTGCTATAGGAACAGCCAAAGCAACGAATAAATGATTACATTTTCACAAAGACAGCTGAAGGAGAGTGCTGGAGCACATCAAGGGAGTAGCAGAAACAACATGGAGCACAGAAACCCTTGCCACCCCCATCCCCACAATCTCCCCCAGTCCCCGTTGGAAGCAGCTTAGAGCCAGGAGAGACTTCTCCCTGTAAGGAAAGGATGAGCAAGAGGACCCCAGCAGCCTCCAACACCACCAGGGTCACCTACAGTCCTTGCTACTGGGGACCCCTGCAGCCTTCACAGGCACTAAGCCCAGTTGAGGGGGCTGCCTGGAGTCTACAGGACTATGCTTGCCCCAGAGAAAGTTCTGACGCTGTACCCTGTCTCTCTGTGGCCTATGGGGTTATTGTGCTGCACCATCTTGAAAAAAGAACCACTGCTAGAATGTCATGTTCTGCTCTGGTAGTGAGTAGCCACAGCACCTCTCCATCCTTGAGGCTTTGTAACCACTGCACCACTTCTACCTCGTGGCCCACCAACCCCATGCCAAATTGCTGTGGGGCTCTCACTCTACCTGGCGTGGCCAAGTTGCCATGAGCTGCTCTATTTACCTTTCCTGTTTGTTGCTGTGCCATGCCCCTCAGAGCCTGAGCTGGCTTATCACCCTGCCTCCAAAGAAATGGTGCCTTGGCCTCCCAGAGTAGTCATATTCCCCAGTATGTGTGCTGAAGTGGCGCCCTGCCTCCCAGGGAATCCCTGCCCTGGCTGCCGAGAGCAGTCGCACCTCTGGCACCTGAGCTGAAGTGGCTCCCAAATCCAGGGGAAACAGTGCTTTAGCTGCCCAAAGCAGTCATATCCCCCAGCACCTAAGCTGAAGCAGCCCCATCTCATGAGGGAATGGGTGCCTTGGCTGAGCTGAGCAGCTGTGCCTCGTGGAGCTTGGCTGATGTGGTACCCTGCATCCAACGGAAACAGCATTGGCAAGGCTGGGACATCCTGCCCTCCAGGCCAAACAGCTGTAGCACCCTGCTTTCCTGGAACTGGACTAGTCCCACAAAGCCTGAACTGCTGAGGCACCCCACCTTCCCCGGGAGAGGAGTCATCATTTTGCTGCTCCTTGCCCCCCAGGAAACAGGCCATAGCTATATGCCACCATTCCTGGGTCCTTGTTGCTACTGAACCTGACCTCACAGAGTCTGAGATTCTGCTGTGTCCCACCATCCCAGGGTCCGGAGTCACCACTGCCTGGTACTTCACCCCAAGAGCTGGAGTTGCCACAGTGCCATACTGGTTCTGGTTCCCAAATTACAGCCGTGCCCTGTTCCCTGGAGCCAAACCTCCAGAGTACCCCTTCTTCCTTGGAGGTAAGTATATAGTCAAATTCAGAATGTTCAAATACTGTAATGGTGGTCTGTAAATCATTTATATCTCCAGTATGAAGATTAAAGTCAAATTGTCAAAAATAGGTTGGGCACAGTGGCTCATGGCTGTAATCCCAGCACTTTGGGAGGCTGAGGTGGGAGTATTAGTTGAACCCAGGAGGTTTAGCTATGATCATGCCACCATACTCCAGCCTGGGCAACAGAGCAAGACCCTGTCTCTAAAACATAAATAAATAAGTAAGTAAATAAATAAACAACCAAAATGCTAAAACGTAACTATAGCTACAATAAATTAAGAAATACACAATATTAAAAGATGTAAATAGTGACATCAAAATTTTAACTATTGGAGGTAGGGTAAAAATCTAGAGTGATTGTATGCAACTAAAGTTAAGCAGTTATCAGTGTAAAACAGTCCATTATAACTGCAAGATGTTTTATGTAAGCCATATGATAACCACAAAGAAAAAAAAAAACTATAGCAGATACACAACTGATAAAGAGAAAGGAATCGAAATTTAGCACCACACACACAAAAAAATCACCAAATCACAAAGGTAAACAATAAGAGAGGAAGAAAGAAAAAAGAATCTATAAAACAAGCAGAAAACAATGAACAAAATGGCAATAGTAAGTCTTTACCTATCAATCATTACTCTGAATGCAAATGGATTAAATTATCTAATCAAAACACAGAATGGCTGAACGGATAAAAGGTTACTAGGAGTCAAAGAGAGAAAATGAGCTGAGGTAGGAAAAAGGATACAAGTAGCATATCTGTAGGATGAACAAGTCTAAAGGTCTACTGTACAGCATGAGGACTATAGTTAATATAGTGTATTCAGGATTCTTGATAAATGAGTAAACTATAGTTGCTCTTGTCACAGTGGGGGAAATGGGTAACTAAATGAGATGATGCATGTGTTAATTTGTGTCACTAAAATAACCATTTTACTATATATATATATATATCCTATGACATCATATTGTATACTTTGAACATATATAGTAAATTTTATTTTTAAAAATAGTAAAAAAGTAAAACAAACAACAACAACAAAACCAAAGAAGTAAAGAGACTTGACAAAGCACATACAATGAAAGCAGGGTGTTGGGACTAGGTATAAAATCTAACAAAGCTGGTCATTTTTGAAACCTTTTTACATTTAAAAGAAGTATTATGGAATACAATTTAAATGATATTTCAGGGATTTTATACATAGTGTATGGGTGAGGTAGATATTTATCCCCAGCTGAAAAGAGCCTAAAACTCTGACGACTTCCTCTAAAATGGGGATGACAAATAGGTTTCACTTTGAAGACAAGTCTTGAGTGTCCACGGTGTTGCTCTGGGCTGATACGGACACCAGGTGGGGCTTTCAGGAACACAGTGCCATGATGCTTGGACATTGGAGGGCAGCGGTGATGCACATGCTATATGTTGGTTTTCCTTTCTCGCGAGACTGTCCCCTATCTGATGATGGCATTTTTTGCCTTATTTTATTAACCACAATGAGGTGCCTCCATTAAGAATGAATTTAAACTAAATATGATTTCACTGTGGGAAACAAAACATTCTTTTAAAATTGTTTCTAGGACTCTGACAGCAATTGGAATCATGGCCAAAGAGTGTTAGAATTTTGTATATCATTGACCCCAATGGTTTTCAGCCTAAAAAAGTACTCATGACACCCCTTTTAAACTTGGAATTTTAGGTTGCCCGTGGTGGCTCACGCCTGTAATCCCAGCACTTTGGGAGGCCGAGGCAGATGGATAGCCTCAGGTCAGGAGTTCGAGACCAGCCTGGTGAACATGGTGAAACCCCGTTTCTACTAAAAATACAAAAATTAGCTGGGCGTGGTGGTAGGCGCCTGTAATCCCAGCTACTTGGGAGGCTGAGGCAGAATTGCTTGAACCTGGGAGCCAGAGGTTGCACTGATCTGAGATCGCGCCATTGCATTCCAGCCTGGGTCACAAAAGCAAGACTTCAATCGATCCGCAGAAGAATGTGTTGAACTTGAAGCAAAGCAAATAATCCAAACCAGCTAACTTAACTACTCCCATTTCTGGTCTTCTGACCTCAATTAGCAGACCAGAAGGATAAATATAACAGAAGAAATGAAGGGTGGCAGGAGGGAATGCAATATGGCATAAGAAAGAAAGAAAAAATGAAGAGAGAAGGAATAGAGAAAGGAATATGAAAGAAGGAAGAGAGGGAGGGAAAAGGACAATAACAGGTGGTAGCAATTTCAGCAAATTCCTGAAATAATGGACAAATCTCTACATTAAAAAATGGCAAGATGCTTCTTTTTTCCCTAACTTGTACCCCATATTCTACAAAACTTCTCGGCTTAGCTATTTAAAGGAAAATGAAAGTTAAAACCCGATTGTCAGAGACAATATTTAAAAATGATAATTCAGCTTATTATTTTAAATCTAGAGTTTTTCTAATATTTTTGCAATGATTATTTATAAGATGGTTATATTGGCCAGGCGCGGTGGCTCATGCCTGTAATCCCAGAACTTTGGGAGGCCGAGGAGGGTAGATCACGAGGTCAGGAGATCGAGACCATCCTGGCTAACACGGTGAAACTCCATCTCTACTAAATATACAAAAAATTAGCCAGGCGTAGTGGCGGGCGCCTGTACTCCCAGCTACTCGGGAGAGTGAAGCAGGAGGGCGGAGATTGCAGTGAACTGAGATTGTGCCACTGCACTCCAGCCTGGACCACAGAGCGAGACTCCATCTCAAAAGGAAAAAAAAACGTTATATTTTTATCTCTACATTTGGAGTTAAGACATTAATTCTCAGAGAAACTAGAAAGAGGTTATAGACCTGAAAACAGAAATAATTGGACTTCTGGTAGTAGACTGTGATTAGATATTATTTAAGTATTAACTCCATCTAAAAAGTCCTGCATGTGATTTCAGGGAGGAGGGTGTGTTACTAATAAGAGATTCAGAGTGTGCTAGAAAATCAATGAAGTAAATAATTATATAAAATTGTTTTTTAAATTATGTTTAATTTCTAGGGGAACAATAAATAAAACTCAAAACTAGAATAGAAAAAGAAATGTATCTTATTTTTCTAATACAGAATGACTAAGAGTGCAAATTTTTTAGAAGAGAGGAAGAAAATGTTTGCCATGCTCAGTTTATTTCAGTTTTTTAGTAAAAACCTAAATGCATTTGTTAAAATCACAGTCCCTTTGACATAGCAGATATTATCTAGTTATACATTTTTTCATGTAAATATAAACTAGATTTAGCTAAGTTTACATTATGAATTATTAGTAAACATTAGAGAAATTTGCATATATTGAGAGGACAAGTAAACAACACCTAAGAACAACTTAAAATAAAAACACTTACCAACTATTTCATGATCAGTGTGGTTTAGATATTTTTTACATATATATGGCAAGGTGGACTCACAATCCCGACCCCTCCAGGCACTTGGCATAAATGAACTAAATGTTCCACAGTGATTTTCAACAAATGGCTCAAAATTTACCTCTGAAAATACAAAGAGTGTGTTTAATATTAGAAGCAAAAGCAGCTAGTTTAATATATATTGAAATGTAGTTTCAGCATCAAGGGGATAGCCTTTCTACTTGTCATATATAGTAAATCCTGTAAAGATGTTATATCCTATAAGATGTTATCCATGATTTTGCAGTTACAGTCCAGGCATGTCAATTAAATGATTTCCCAAAGATTCCAAAAGACCCAATTTTACTATCTTAAAGTAGAGAGATACTTTGCAATTTGTAGCTATTTTTAAAGCAGCAGACTGGAATCTTGGCTTGTACCCAAATTCTCCTGCAACTTTGGCTAAAAAGCTTATCTTCCTGGACTCTATTTTCTTGTTTGGAAAAGCTTGCCTTAAAAGAATTCAGTCAGCTTAAAAAATGTTTATAAACTACTCTCAAAAAAGCATATCCTATGTGCATGGGAAACGCTGCGGTGTAAGGCTGCAGGATGATGTCATGTGACAAAGGCAAAGAAAACACTGCGGGTACCTGGGCTCCAATTTAGGTAGTTGAGCGGTGTTCCATCAGACCACTGCCAGCCAGAGTGTTCATCCAGCTGATTGAGACCGATCCACACCTCCACTGCCTTACTGCTTATGTGCTCTGAAATGAAAATTATGAAGCTTCAAAAAAAAAAAAAAAAAAAAATCCAGTGTTACACATCTTTCTTGTTCTCCTATTCCTGGATCACGGAGTCAGAAATTAATCCCAGTCAACGATAGGAAAGGTGCACAGAATGCACGTGGTGCTTCTGAGTGATAAAGCAGGCTCCCACCATCTTGAGAAACAGAGCAGGCTCACTGAGAGCTGTTTTTCAACCTTGAATGCTTCATGCGAGTACCCAGAAATGTTGCCTTTCAGGGTTGTCAATCTAGACAAGGGTGCATGGTTGCACACTTGAGGCCATCTTACTTGAGTGAGCTCATGAACTTAAAGGTTTTATAGAGTGGAGGAGGAGGTGTGCAGGGTCACTCCCAGAAGGTGAACAGAGACACATCTTCAAAGGTAAAAAGTGTGCTGGAGTAGATCAGGGAGGGGTGTACAGTGTGAGAGCCACTAGGAGTTGTCTGCTCAGCAGGAGGGACCAGAGTGTCTCGGGGCATCCCTAGCAGGTTGGGACCTAAGGCTGTGTGCAGTGCAAACTAGACGCTGCTTCCACAGCTTGAGGTGGAAGAAGATTTTATGGCAGGCTGGCTCTGTGGCCCCTCCTCTTAACCAGTCCACAACAACTCTCGGTTTAACGCAATACCATGTTTGTTAAAGACACTATGAATAAAAACGTGCATTGACGTGCAGAAAAACATAGTTATCAAAATTATAGAATTATGGGAATTTTTCTTCAGTTTTTCTTTCTGTGCACCTAAATTTTAAACATTCTTCCAGAACAAATAGGTACTAATTGTGCAGTAAAAATAGGGTGGGGGGAACCAAAACCCAGTATCAGAAATGTAATGAAAGTGGCAATTTTGTGACGCTTTGAAATGTTGCCATTTACTCGTTCAATCTACAAAGGAGAGCATTGTTCGCTTACAATTCACCTGCTTCAGAGCCCAATGCATTTTTAGTCAGATGCAGGGGTCCTGCCTGAGATTAAGACCCTGACGGATAAGAGTTATAAACAGGGTGACCGTATGCCCCCGTTTTCCTGGAAAGCTCGTGGTTCATGCTGGTAGTTCCAGAATAATTATTAATCGCAGTCCCTTTTACTATCAAAAGAGTCTCAGTTTGGATGATAGACTGTATGATTACCCAGGTTGTGAAGGTCATTGTAGTCATATAACAAGGCTGCAGCATCCTCAGTGACTAGACATTTCAATACAATTGTGAAAAACTCAAAGAGCCTAACCCATTTAGGAAAAGAGAAAAAGGTGCTTTATAATTTTGATATCCCCAGAAATCAATAAACAGAAACAGCATCCTATACGTGGGTTTCACCCTTCCAAGTTTCCATGGCATTCACATGGAATCTCTTTCTAATGTCCATTTGATTATTCCTTTCAATAGCACCATTTGATTAAATCATTTAGCAGGTCTTATGATGATAAGAAGTGAAATGGATTGACAAGGCAGGGAGAAATTTTCACATTTCACATCCAGGCAAGTGCCAAGTGATATTTTAAAATCTAGTTAAAATATTAAAACGTGAATTATTCTTATCTTAGAATTATTTTGAATATCCATTGTGCAATTGTTTCAATAATGCAGATAAAAAATCATTGTGCAATTTATAATCTGTGTCTGAAGGCACAAAAAACCATCTATTTATCTTTAGGACTAAGCTGGCCCACAATACTGTAATAAGAAACTCGAATTTAAATTCCTTTGGATATTTCTTGGCATTCATGACAGCTTAGATAATTCCTTGTACCATAGTACATTTTCACCAGAATTAGCAAGAAGCATTAGATTATTTTCATCATTAAAAAATACCTTGGTTGGAACGAACAGGTTTCTGTCTTTATGAACAGACTTCTGTTTTTCCAAACAATTCCCAAAGACTAATTATAGAACTGAGGTAGTTAAAGCAAAGTCCCTGACATGTCTTATTTTTTTAAATTGTTATTCAAATTTGATGAATAAATCCAGACCGTCTCATGACAGATCCTGGCAGTTCAGATAGATAATTGTAATTCATAAATGGCATGTAAACTTTTATATGAAAACCATGTCAGGCTTATAATGATTTTGAAAATTGATGTTTTCCTGCACTATGACTTACTCAAATCAAATTCAATAATAATTTCTGACTTTTGCACAGCTGTGGGGAAAGGGTGGGCACACATTGCTCATTCATTTCTTACAATCCTTCTGGAAGATATTAATGACTTACAAAAGCTTTAAAGCGTGCTTACTTTTCCATCCAGTGAACCCACTTCTGCAAACTTATAAAAAAATATTTGGGGAGGTATGCACAAAGCTATGTGCAGGGATGGTTTATAATGTCAACAAATAAATAAATAAAAACCAAATGGTTTCATCAATATATCTCTAGTAAAAGGAGATTTGATCAATGTATTACCACTAACCTATACTACTATGTAACCATTAAAAATTATTATGTAGATCTATATTTATAGATACAGGCAAATGTTCATTATATGCAGGTAAATAAAATAACCAGATTACCAAACTGTGTACATAGTTGTTGTTAAATGGTTAACACACACTGAGTGTTTGTTATGTGTGCCAGGCACTTTTCTATGATTTCACCTGTATTAAAATATGTAATAGACACCAGGAATTTGCATTATTATAATTTCCACTTGATGGAGGGGGAAATTGAGGCACAGAGCAGTTAAATCACTTGCTTGAGTAACCCTGCTACTCAAGTGGTAGAGGCAGGATTCAAATCCAGGTGGCTCCCTGCTCTCCTAACCACTGTGCAATAGCTGCCATGTTTTTATTTATTTTTATTTTTTATTTATGTATTTATGTATTTTGATATGGAGTCTGGTTCTGCCGCCCGGGCTGGAGTGCCATGGCATGATCTTGGCTCACTGTATCCTCCACCTCCCAGGTTCAAGTGATTCTCCTGCCTCAGTCTCCTTAGTAGCTGGGACTACGGGTGCATGCTACCACATCTGGCAAATTTTTGTATTTTTAGTAGAGAGAGGGTTTCACCATGTTGGCCAGGCTGGTCTCAAACTCTTGGCCTCAACTGATCCACCCGTCTTGGCTTCCCAAAGTGCTGGGATTACAAGTGTGAGCCCTGCGCCTGGCTGCTGCCATGTTTTCATATAATACCATTTTTTATATATACTATGTATGTACACATGCATTTATATGTTTTGGCAGAGAAACACAGTTATCTCTGGATTACAGAATGATGGGAACTTTTTCATTGGTTTTTCTTTCTATATACCTGAATTTTACAAATTATTCTAAAATAAACATGGACTACATATGCAATAATATTTGAAAAAACTGGCATCAAAAACTGTTAATGAAAGTGACTAATTTTGTGATATTTTCTAATGTTTCCACAAGTTTTTAAAGAGGTGTACGTACACACATACAAAGACGTTTAATCTATAAAGGAAAAGTAAGAGGAGAGTGTGGGAAATGAGTGAAACACAAGTCTTAGTTTACTGGCACAATTCTTTTAACACATTATTTTCTATACTGTTAGTTAACATATATGTGTTTTTGCTTTTCCCACCAAAGTTTAAGATTTTGTTTTTGGGACCCACCAGAAAGCCTATGATGTATCTGCACATGGTGAATGATAGGTAAGATTTCGTTTAATTAATAAAATGCTTAATGATTTATTAATGGAAATGGAATGGCTAAGATCTCCAGAAGAGTAAGAAATAGCCCTTACATTTAGAAATCTTCCTGATTCACCTGTTAGAACTGCAATTCTCCTGGGTCCCTTGCTGTGGTCTCAAATTCTCTTCTCCAGGGGGGAGAAAATAAGAAAGACATCACTGGATGCCAAATGGAATCACTCAAGGTTCATGGAAACATTTTGGGTGAGAGTTTTGGGCCATATTAAGGAAAGAAAAATATTTTTTAAGAGCTTTTTTTCATAATATATTTTTGTATATGTGAAAACAGTTAACAACAGTCTTTTTATTGTATCCGTATCAATGTGCATCATCCACCTACTTACCCCTTATGAAATTTTCTTCAGTTTCATCTGTAATACTTAACAGAGCACCTCCTTGCATCTGGCATGAAGAATGTGCCTCGCTCCAAGAGAGAGATGAAAGCAGGTTGAACTGGTAACAAATGTGTGAATTGAGGTCCTTCTCCCAAATAGTATCACAACTTACTTCTGCAGAGGCTGGAAACAACGGCCGTTAAATCATCCAAGTCTTATTTTATCTATACAGCAACATATTTGTAAGATAAATCTGAACGGAATTATTCCATCTTGCAATCTCTAAAACTTCAGTGCCTTATCTATTCTTGATTAGATCTTTATGATAAAATCTGCATTGCTATCCCATTGTTAAGATACGGTTAAACTCTTTCATGATTTACCTAAGGAAATATAAGAAATCACCTATGAAGAAGCTGTAATCCTTTCCAGAGTAATAATAGGAACCAGTTTTAAGAGAAGGAAATGGAAGCGAAGTATTTGTGAAAATAAGATCTGAGTTCTTGTGTCATTTAGAACTTTACATTGAAACCTTGTGTCTTTAAAAGTTCATTTTAGTGGATACAAATGTTATTTCAAAGGCATTTCTTCCCAAATATAAAATGCTAAAACAAAAGGATAGAGTAGGAATATAAGTCAATAGTAAACACAAGTTTTCAAATAAACATCAAGCACCGGAACGCTGACATATAGTTTAAGAAAGTTCTTTCAGCCAAGACGAATAGAATCAAGATCCACTTGTAAGACACTGGCCGAAGACTGCATAGTATGCTCAAAAGTAAATTAAATAAAGTATGAAATGTGGAGCTGAAGTCCGAAGTGTTTTGAAATAACAGAAAATTAAGACTGAGTTTGGGTGCTTTTGCTAACATTTTAAATCAAACTCCAAGGTGAACTAAGCAGCCACAATAATGACTGGAAATCAAACTCAAACAGAGAATAATCAGAATGCAGAGAATGTGAGCCATACTGCAGCATGACTGAAAATGACTGACAGGCAACCAGCTGAAATCTAGGACAGCCTTTCCCAAAGTGTGATCCCCAAAGTAAGACAACTTTAAGAGGCTCCCCAAGAAAATCTGAGACACAATGCATGCATAGGGTTCTCTGGGAAATTCACAACGAACATTAGCATATTCAAGGCTCTGAGAAGTTTTGGAGTAAACAAACATGCTTAATTTTAATTCAGTGTACTTCAAACTTATTTGACAATAAAATCTGTTTTGTTTGTCTTTTTCTCCCTCATAACACTTAGATGGTCCCCTTGGGATATGTGGAAAGTTTATTTTCACGTCTGGTTGCAACACACATTCCAGAGGTTTTAAATCACATATAAATCTAAGGCTGTCTATAGAGTTTCCTGACTGATACATGTGTTTATAGAAGGATCCAAGATTAAAGGAAGGCAGAAGACAAGGCTATCACCAAGTAACACTCAAGGGAAGGAAAAAAAAGAAAGGAAAAAGAGAAGGGAAATTTTCAGTAACCATTTTGCCCTGGTGGCTGAAATTTCCCAATTGAGATGGAATCCTTGATTGTTTTCAGTTAAAATGCTAGGCCTTCCCTGAGATGGACAATATGCTACTACGTGTTATGAGACACTAGTTCAGCCATACTCACCCACCATGACAGCTGAGACCATGATGGGGGAGCGGGGGTGTGTTCGTAGTTTTGGCGTGCATAAGAATCATTTAGGACAGTCACAGTGGTTCATGCCTGTAATTCTAGCATCTTGGGAGGCTGAAGTGGGAGGATCACTTGAAGTCAGGAGTTCAAGACCAGCCAGGTCAACAAAGCGAGACCCTATTGCTACAAAAAGAGAAAGAGAGAGGCTGGGTGTGGTGGCTCATGCCTGTAATCCCAGCCCTTTGGGAAGCTGAGGCAGGTGGATCGCTTGAGCCCAGGAGTTCAAGACCAGCCTGGGCAACATGGTGAAAATTTTTTGAGTGCTGACATGACACCACCTGATCTCGTGTGATGGGTTTTGGTCAACACTTTGTTTCATGCACAAAATCATTTTAAATATTGTATAAAATTACCTTCAGGCTATGGTCATAATGTATATATGAAACATAAATGAATTCTGTCTTTACACTTGGGTCCTGTGCCCAAGAAATCTTATTATGTATATGCAAATATCCTAAAATCAGAAATCCAAAACAATTTTGGGCCCAAGAATTTTGGATAAGGGATACTCAGCCTGTATAAGAATTTGTACTTCTGTACAGGCAGACACAAGTCCTTTCTCTGCTTCTCTAGGTGGACTGCACATCACTCCATGAATCTCATTTGTAAGTTGTAAGTAACAAATGGAATGAAAATGTTGTCATAGACACTGTGATGTGCTGCTCTTTAGGGATTGCTTTGGCAGAAGAGTCTCTTTGCCCATTGTCACTCTCCCTCCCCAAGGGCAGTTGACAGACCATGACTGGTCAATGCAGTGATATACTTAGCCCCCATCTCCCAACAAGGGGCAACTCTGAAGGGTCACCCCAGCTTGAGAACTCTGAATAGAGTTGGTCTAGAGGCCGTAAGGCCTGCATCAGAGCCTCTTCTGTGCAATCCTGCTCTCTTCCCTTCCTTTCCACGTGAACTGATCCTAAAGGGGCTCCCCAAGAAAATCCCACATGTTAACCTTTGGCTTAAAGACTGCTCCCCGGGAACCCACCACCTTCCACAGGCTCCCACCTTGACCTGGGCATTTGCACTTACATATAGTCTCTCCTTCCAAGCCACAGAAAATGCAGGATCAAAGTCTGGTGTTTCAGGTATGTTTATTATTCTGGAAAAATTCTCATCTAAGGGCTAGAATCCTATTGTTATATTCTTTACATCTTTGATAGTCTTTATATCGTCTCTTCTATTGCTAAATTATGAGTTCCAGGGAAGCAATCGTGTCATATATAACTCTGAGTCTCCTATTACGTGATGAGAGATTACCAAAATCTTTTTCATGGTGTTATAAATAGGTGATTTTCCCCTCCTAAACTACATCTCTTTTTTAATGAACTGAAGTGCATACGTAGAATGACTTGGGACGTGTTTCATCCTCTTTTAATTTCCCACTCAGTCTGTCATCCACTCAATCTAGCCATTAATGTATAGCTTGTTCAAGGCCATCAATGACCCCTGTGTTGCCAAATTCAGCAACTGTTAGTTTGAGACTTTATCAAACAAGGCCCTTCATCAGCACTTGGCAGGCTGAGTTCCCTCTCCATGCTGATTTACTCTCTTTTCTTGACTTCCCATGCCAGGCTACCCTTAAACCTCCCTGGCTGCCCCCTTTCAGTCTCCCTTGCTGATTTATTCTTCTCTACTCAAATTAAATGTTGGAGGCCTCAAGTCTTGGCCCTGAGCCCCCTTCCTTTCTATTCTACACACTCTTTCTGCACATGGCTATCTAACCTGTTCTCATGGGTCCATTTCCTATAACTTCCAAATACATAGAGATCATTACATCTACCTACCTAGTCCACATCTCTACATAACTGACTCACATATAACATGTGCCAACCTGAATAGTATTTAATTTTCTTTTCCAACTGTATATCTCCATAAACTTAGCTATGCATGTCAGAAACATGGAGTCTGAATTAATGTCTCACTTTTTCTCCTAGCCTCCAAGTTCTTAGGAGTGAGAAGTCCTACTCCTGGTTAAAAACCTATATGTGATTCTTGAGGCCTGACCATAGGCAGTTACAAAGCCTTTACCTGGCATGCCTCATGGGGGAAAGCTGCCCCTACTCCAGACCTGGTGCTGAGCTGGCACACTGCAGTTTCTAAAGAGAGTTGTAGTTAAGGGTTCAGGCCCCTCAGGCCCATCGTGCTCTGTGTTATTTGCATTTCTGGCACAGGTGCCTTCCATTCCTACGTCTCTTTCTGTGTGAGGCCTTGGGCCAAGGTCCTCTTCAGGTGCCTCTGCCGAGGCTGGTATGGAGCGGGAAGGAGAGGAATCTTGAAGACACTTTTTCCCCACTCTGACTCAGTGCTCAGTACTTTTCGACTCCTAGCTCTTCCCCTCACCTTACCCCAACCCAGAATCTATACAACTGAAAAGCCTTTGTTGTTGTTGTTGTTGAGGGGTCTCTCAACGGTGAGCTGAACTGAACTCCACGTCTGTGCTGATCCACTGACCCTCGATGGTGGTGCTGTTCCCTGGGGAAAAATGGAACGGGGGAGGTGGCGAATTCTTCTTTTATTCTCTTCATTATACCATCGCAGTGAGTGATCAACAGCTTAACACCTTCATTTTTGGTGTGTTGCTTTAATTAGCTACTCCAACACACGACAGCTCAGCTGTCTCCAGCCCAGCTAAGCTCCTGACAACCAGGTCCTGTTCAGTTTATCTACAAGTTAGATCTTCAATACATCCACATTTCTCCAATCCCCTTGCTGCCACCTAACTGAAGCCACCACTACTCCTGGCCCAGACTATTGCTCTAGCCTTCTAACTGGTCTCCAGGATTTGCCTGTTGCTCCCTTCCAAGCCATTCAGTATAATAGACCCAGAGTAATCCTTAAACATCTTTTTAAAAAAAAAAAATCATCACTGCCCTGCTTAAAATCCTTTGATGGCTTTCTTTTGCACTTAGAATTAGGTAAGTCCTTACATTTATGACACTCTGAACTATCTAGCCTGTCCATGAGTTGGGCTCTGTCTGCCCTTTCAGAGTGTCTTGTTTCTCTCTCCTTCAATCACTGTACTCTTGCCATGTTGACTTCCTTAGATTGCAATAACCTCTTTCCCCCTTCAAAACCTTCAGATATTTGGCCAGTGACATGCTGAGGGCTGGGGGTGGAGGAGCAGTCAGCCTGGACAGGTGGGCGTATTTGATCAATGACACTGGAATTGTTAGAGCATATGCATGGTAAATCAAAAGCATGCTGTCTTTTACTTGGTTTTATTATTATTTTTTAGTTCTATTTAAACCATATACCCCCCTTTATTGCCTGCATCCTATGCTGACCACTCCCTCTCCCCTTCCTTTGCACATGGCTGCATCATGCATCTCTCTGTAAATATCTAATTCCCTCACTTTCCATTTTGACAACTTCTACTCATCTCTTGGGAAGTTCAAATACAACTTCCTCAGGAAAACCTTCCATGACTACCAATTTTAACTTTGGTTTCTCACTTATAATACTGTATTTTCTTAAGGTAGACCATGACAAACTATAATTATATATTAATTTGGGTATTATACTTGAATGTGAATGTCATCAGGGCAGGCACGATGACTTTCATATTTCACATTCACGGTTATAACCCCAGGAGCCAGAGAAGTTCCTGGCACATAGTAGGTGTTCAATACCTGTTTGTTAAATGGATAAATGAATCAATGGTCTGTGGAAATGGAGGTCAAGGTCAGGTCAGGTATGCATTGTTGTAGAAGACAAGAGGAGACAGCGCCCTGAAGAACGTATAGACAATTTTCTTTACATAGAGAACGAGAGAGAGAGAGGTATTTTCAGGAGGCAGAAATGGGAATGAAAGAATTGCATTATTTTTAAGATGTTATTTTAAGACTCGCACAGGGCTAACTGCTAAGGAAAAGGGCCCAGCAAAGAAGCACCGGGGGTGTGCACTGGAATCACCTAGAAGTTTATTCAAACACAGATTGCTGGGCTGCACTTCTAGAATTTCTGATACGATGGTCTAGGGTGTGACTGCTACTTGCATTTCTAGCCAGCTCCCAGGGAATTCCAGCGCTGCTGGAACGGGGTCCACACCTTGAGAACCATTGAGATACAGGTTAGAGAAGGTTGGATGGGGTGCTCCAGAGTCCAGGTGGGGAGACTTGGCCTACATAGGAGGAGGAACATTATCCTCGTGCATAAAAGGAAGGAAATAAGGATTGGCACAGATGCAGGTAGGCTTAAAGACGAGGGAGCAGGAAGTTGCCAAACTGCCTGTCTGATGGATCTTTTTGCCATTATGAGGCAGGAGTTGAGGTCACCTACTGAGCATCAGAAAGGAGACTGGAAGGTAGGGTTAGAAGTTAAAGGAGAATAGAGAGGTTGGCAGGGTCGTCGTGGGGTGTGAGAGCTGCATGACAGAAACAGATAGCATTGCTGATTCATGTTGAGGGCTCAGGAGAGAGCAGCCATACCTTTATTGTATCAATCTGCTTGTTTTTCTTTCTTGCAGGGGGAGGGGGTGGGCGGGCGGCGACAGAGTCTTGCTCTGTCACCAGGCTGTAGTGCGGTGGTGTAACCTTGGCTCACTGCAACCTCCATCTCCTGGGTTCAAGCGATTCTTCTGCCTTAGCCTCCTAAGTAGCTGGGATTACAGGTGCCCACCACCACACTCAGCTAATTTTTGTATTTTTAGTAGAGATGGGATTTCACCATGTTTGCCATGCTGGTCTCAAACTCCTGACCTCAAGTGATCTGCCCACCTCGGCCTCCCAAAGTGCTGGGATTACAGGTGTGAGCCACTGTGCCCAGCCTAAATCTGCTTTATTATAGAATTATATAAAAATAAGGTTCAAGGGTAACCATATCATTTCACAGGTTGGTATTGTACAAATATCTCAAGTTAACTAAGTGTGGTTCTGCAGCTGTGTAAGGCACACAACCAAGAAAGACCTAGAATGGCCCGTAATTGCCACTAAACAAACCCAGAGAGATTCCTGTATGTCATCCTTATTGCTGAAGATGTTTTATTACGTCCTTCACTGCTAGTATATTTGTGTATGTGTTTATGAATACTACATTTAAATTTTGCTCATTTACAATCAACTGTTTTTTAAAAAAGGTAGCATCATTTTACACTGAGATATTTAAAAAAAACTCCCATATAAGAAGGATGAGATACAGTAGTACAGACCTTTACTTTATTCCACTCACTCTTCTCTGTCTTATCCACTTGTTGACCCCATGGAAAGAGCCATCGGCTTGCTCAGGTTTCAATCTCTGACATGTCATTTTGAGTTATATTGGCTACCGGGAGCCAAAAGTAACGAGAAAGGAAGAAAACTGGCACTGAACAAATAAACATGCTCTCTGCTGGTTGTGGTAAAGGTCAGGAGAGCTGGAATCTGGCAGGCTGTCAAGCAGAGGAAGCTTCTGAGCTGTAGGAGGCTGAACAAATAGATAGACTGGGGAATGAAAAGCCCAGAGCATCACTGAACCCAGGCTTCCACTGGGAAACTATCATTGGCTATAAGCGACAGAGGATGGTGGCGGGGTTCTTTTCAGAACCTTAAGGAGAATGCTGTAGTTTTTTTTTTTTTTTTTTTTTTTTTTTTAAGTCCCTAGTATTAGAGCCAAGTGAAGTATGTGTTAACTTTATTAGTATTGATTCATTTATTTGGTTTTAACAATGACTTCTATTGTGGATGGAAAAGGAAAGAGAAAACATGATGCAAACAAAATGACAATAATAAAAATAACATGACATCTGGTTCAGGAATCCAAGGAGTGTAGGGATTACATGCATACACACCTACTTGCATACATTTACATTCAGATAGAGAAGGCTGGTGATCTGACAGTTATAAAATAACGAAATGCTTTCATGCTGGTTGGTGAATAGCCACTGTTCTCAACTTCTCTATTACCCACTGCTGCCCCAGCCTTCCCTGCACCCCACTCCTGCATTCCAGCAGCTAAGGGGTTAATATCAGCAGAGGGCCTCTGGAATTCCCAACCCCACACTAAGGTCTCCACTACGATTGACCAATAGCCCATACCATATTGGCTGTTAAATGTATTGATATTATCCCTGCATATAGATGTATATTGCATAGAATTATCTCCATATTATTAATTGCTTGATGATGAATTATCTGCACCAGGGTCACCTGGGGCACTTCTCAAAAATGCAGATGTTTGGGTTTTACATACTGCTCCCACTGCATCTCTGGAAGATGGGCCAGGATATGCATTTAAACTATCTCCCAGGTGATTCTAGGGCATTGTCTCAAATACAACCTGCATTTTCTGGCATACAGCAAACCTGTCTGTCCTGTATTCTCTCTAGATGCCAAGTTCCTTAAAGGGAAGATCTTAAGTCCTAAAACTCTTGGCATTCACCACTATGCCTAGCTTAGGGCTTGTTGACTGACAACAAAGAGGAGAAATCATGGATTCAGAAGCGTATGCTGAAAAGATAAATTGGGTTTGATGCTGCTGCTGCTATTGTTGCTGCTGCTGCTGGCCACAATGGTTAGCCCTTGTGGGTGCTTACTGTGTGCCAGACATTATGAAAAGTGCCTTGAATGCTTCATCTAATTGAATTGCACAATAATCCTAATAGGTACTGCTATTATCTACATTTTATGGCTGAGGAAACTGAGACTCAGAAAGATGGAGAGAGCTTCCCAAAATTTCATTGTTGGGAAGAAGCAGGACTCCAATCTTGACCTGTCTGATTATTTCAAAGCTTATGCTTTCTTATTTACTAAGCCATACTAGCTCTTGGATTAGAAAACAATTCTACAGATACTTTATAAATCAGATTCTTTGGAGTTAATCTCTTCAATTTGCTTTTGCTTCAAGTTTATTTGTTGCATTTTATGTATGCGGAGGGGAGGCAGGCATGGGAGATGAAGACTGTAAGAGCTGTACCCTCTGACTCACAGAAACCACGGGAAAGGAAATTGAATATAGAAAGTAGGAGGCATACATAAATATTCTCTAATACTTGAGAACAACTGGAAACTTTTCAGCTAAATAAAATAAAATAATAAAGCACTAACTGAAAAAAAGTTAGAACATTGCCACTGCCATTGACCTTTGGAAATTAAGATAAGAAAAGAAAAAAAAAATGAGGTTATATCCAGAAGGTAAGTAGTAAGGAAAGGGAGTCAAGACAAGAATCCACTGTCAAGAAATAATGAGGGCAATTGCGATTTTAGAAAGATCATCAAGAGGCCAGCTGGTGCCTGGACTTGACAATGGGCATGACAAGCAGCCTGGATGTGGAGAAATTAAGGCAGCTATAAGAGGTAGTGAACTGAAAGGCTAACTGGGTTTTATATGCAATCAGGTTTGTTTTGAAGTATCCAGCCAAGAAGCTGGGATCAATCAGATCGCAGAGTATTATAATTTAATTTGGGTTAAAACATCATTATGCACTGAGCTTAATGAAGAATGGCTAATTAACATCTCTTGAATGTATGGCAAAAAGAATATACATTAGAATTGTCTTTTCAAGGCAAAAACAAAAACCCCATTCAAAATCTGAATTAATAGCATCAGGGTGCTTATTCAGACTTCAATATATCAATCCCAGTGCTTTTGTTTAGATACAGATAACTTTCTAATCCTCTTTGATTCATTCATGACATATAGAGAAGACAAAATTTATTCTTACTGGGATCAGGGCAAAATCCCCACTTTTCATCTCTTTCATAACGGCTTGTCGTGGCACACCACAATAAGTCATCTTCCCGACCTTCACGGGTACACTCATGATGCCACTGATGGTTATACTGGAAGGGAAACATACACGGCATCCCATGGGTGTTCCCTTTGATTGTGTGCAAATCTAGGAGAAAGAAATGTACAAAGTCAGACAAGTATGATGTCAGCTTTACCTTTGGAAACTGCTATACATCAAAAGCATTTTTTATGGACTGAAACCCTCTTAGGGGCAGATACTCACTACAACAGAGTGAGCCCTCAGGTCCTCACTGTCTCCTGTCAGTAGAAGTGTGAGACCAAGAGCTGGGCTCAGAGGAAGTGCTGATACATGGTTTGCTTACGCATTTATCTACTTGTTTACTTACTATGGTGAGCTGCCACAGTAACATTCATACTTGTGGATGGATGAGAAGGAAACTTTAATGGAGATTTAACTTCATAATACCTTCCAGTCCCCAAATACATCAGCCATTAGCATCTAAGGCTCAATAGATTCATAGGCATTTATTAATTTATTCATTCAATAACGATTTATTGAGCATTTAGTATACTCAGTACTGGGGATACAACAGTGAACAAACCAGCATAAGTTCCTTCATGTGGAACTTCTATTCTAGCAAGGAGAGAGAAAAAGAAGCAAATATACAAGTAAACATACAGTATCATTGCAGGTAGTGAAAAGTGCCATGATGAAAAATAAATAGGATGAGAAGACAGAGTGGGGTGTGTGTGTGCACGTGTGTGTATATGTGTATGCATGAGACAGAGGGAGAGACAGAGAGAAAGAGAGAGAGGGAGAGACGGGGTGGAGGAGCACAGGGCACTACTTTGGACAGGATGGGCAGTGAAAGGCCTCTCTGAATAGGAACTGGGTGACCCGAGAGTGCAGGTATTTAGACAAGAGTTGATCCAGCGAAGGAAGAGCAAGTAAAAAGAACCTGAGACAAGAACAGGTGTGGGTGAATGAAGAAGAGGAAGGAGGCCCTCTGGGAAGGGGAACCAGGGATGCACTGGAGTGTCAGCGCACATAGGGCTGTCTCCCTGCCATACTGTGGGCTTTGGCCTCTACTCTGAGGGTGGGGGCAAGTCTCTTGTGCATTTCAAATGGGAAAGTGATAGGTTCAGATTTCCATTTTTAAAGAATCACTGAGGGTGCAAGGGGGCAAACAGCCGACATGGGGAGAGGGTGAAGCCAGACAGCTGACTGGGTGACTTCTACAGTGATCTAGAGTGAGATGATCATGCAGACATGGCCTGCTGGCTGCCTTCTCAGGGTTTTGCAATACTTGGTCATTCTTGGCCTTAATCAGGAATCAACAAAAACTTTTCACAACTCAACTGGGGCTGCCAATGGTAGGTCCTGGGCAAAAGGACCAGCTGTGGAGAGCCCCACCTCTTTCCCACAACTGGCAGGGGTGACCTGAGCTCACGACATGTCACCAGTCACCAGCCTTAGCAGTTAGGGCTACTTAGGAACTGTAGGTATTTCAGGACATGCCCTTTTCTTTCAGTCCCCTTCCTTCTACTCAGAAGCATATGTTCTCTAGAATCTTCTCCTGCATGCACCATGAATGTGGGTATGTGGCTAAAAAAGCTAACATAAAGCAAAATAGCAAGTTCCTCTTCAGAACTGTAGATTATTCAGAGTGCTCATTTGCAGCACTAGCTTTATTTTAGTGAGCCCTGAAAATGCCTGGCCCTTGGCTCTATCTCTTTTTAATCATTTCTTCTTTAGGAGTTCCTTGCTCTGCTTCCCAGGACTGTACAGAATTCTTAGGAGAATATGCTCTTGTGAAAGCATAACTCTACAGAGCACCACAAGGGGAGGGACTCCGCTTGTCCTGTGGGCCTCTGTAAACCAGGTGCCTAGCCCAGTGCCTGATCAATATGGGGTGGATTTGTCAGCAGTGTTATATAAAAATGTGGGATGAATGGATGGATGGATGGATCGATGGATGGATGGATAGAGTGAGCTACCAAACAAACCCTGAGGGACAGGTTTGAGATTTTAGAATTTAACTATGTAACTTTCTTTATTTTTATTTTTTTCTGTTTAGAAATGACAAAGATAACCATAGAAAATGAAATTCCCCTCTAAACCGTGCTTCCCCACCGACCATGCCTGGCACACACCAAATAACCCCTGACAACAGTCTGTCATTAATCTTCAAGTGACTTGCAACATGATTATCACATGAATGCCAGCCAGCATCAGGAGGCGTTGGAGGTGCCCTGGATACATACCTCCATAGGTGGGGATGTGTTTTTACAATAAGAGAAATGGTGGCAGGGGAGGAGAGGTTATTATATTTGTCATGACAAAAGTCTTCAAATATCTTTTCCTTCCACCTTCCTTTTCTCTCTCTCTCCTCTCTGCTTGTTCTTTCTCCTCCTTTCCATTGATTCCCAGAGTCAGTTAAATGTTTTTCCTCCCAATACCTTTAAATTCTGAGAAGTTCTGCTTCTTTAGTAGAATGTAGTATGTCCATTCTGAGACTCTCATAACCCTCTTACCATAAGCAAGGAAGCAACTAAAATGTATTTAGCAGAAGTCCCCTGAGGGTCCAGGCTTTGTGTACTTCTTTCACATAACGCTTTACAAATCTTTACTTATAGGCAAACTTTAAAAAAATACCATTCCCCGAGTGCTTCTTTAAATTAGTTTTACCTTTGTGTAGATATTCACAAATCTCTCCACCACCTGACACATAAGAAATCCACTTATGAAAATACTTCCGTGAGGCCACCACTGTGTTATGTGCCACCTGGACGGAGTACTGCAGCGGGCCGGTGATCATCTTCCTGTTACAGCGCCACCGCAAGGAAACGAGGGTGGAGTCACATTCGTATAAGCTTAAGGGCTGCTCTGGGGCAGAGAAATTCAGGCCCAGGCAACCGCTGCCTCCTATGTTAAAGAGGCCATGGTTTGAAACCCATTTCCACAGCATGTGCTTGTTTGCTTGCTTGCAGTTCTCCAGGGTCAGTACCGATTTACCTGCTTGAATGCATTTCTTCAGACTCTCACTTTGGATAATAAATATTCCTTTATCTGAAACAAAAATCAAAGACCTGGCATGAAATTTTCATATATAATTTACTAGCATCATGAGGATCTCAGTGTGCATATCTAAGTGCGATATGCCACAGTTGCCGGTCATTTCCCACAGATCTGGCGTTGTTGGGCTGGGTCCATCTGAAGGGCTTTATTTCCATAAGACAAAGGAGTTTCTTGGGAAGCATAAAAGGGCTTATGGAGCTAATGGGAGAGCTCTGATCTAAGACCTCACTGGCCATATAGGAACAAGGGTTACCTGTCAATCCACTCAGGTCTGTTACTGACAGAGAAGGTGCGTTCACACAATTGGTTAGAGAGGGGGATTGGTAATAATACTCAGGGCTCCTGGGGAGGGACACTGGGTGCCCATGGATGGGACAACATTGTCTCAGACAAGTGCCTGAATGTTAGGGACACAGCTGCTGAATCAAGAGCCACTGAATGAAACTCTCTGCCATCAAGTTCCTGTAGAAAACCGAAAGGCTATCAATGAAATGCTGCTTTGTGATCTGATCCAGGATTCAATGCTGGTCAGAACACAGTGCTTCTCAGCAGTACAGGGGTGGAGGCAGGGAGCTCTTGCTATGGGGATAGACTCTTAGTAGGAGACGGCTTGCTGGGTGGGGCTGGCAGAAGCAGGTAGGTGCCCAGGCCACTAGCTATGGCACCACACCCGAAACACGAGAGGTGACGGACCACCATTACGGTGGCAGAAACCAGAGGCCACATGGACGGTTGGAGAAAGTAGGCATTTTGTGATACGCCCCTGAGCTCTCCTTCCTGGAGCTGGAAGAAGGGATTTGGGTGAGTTTCCTGTGGAAAAGCTGGTGGGACCCAGCTGGGGAATACATGTTAGCTGCCAGCCTGCTACCTGACTTAACCCAAGTTGCGGGCCTGGAAGGCACCTAGTACTCAACAGTTAGTGTGAACTTGTTTTCTCTCACGCTTTTTGAAGATGGAAACCAAGTCTCATTTCTTTGGTCTAAGCACGGAGTGTGTTGCGCACATGATGGAAATTCAGTCAGTGCTTGCTGTTGATGAAATACACCAGCTGCTGCTGCTTCGGCCTTTGGCTGCTGAAGTCACCTCGGTCATGTCTGGTCAGGCCCTGGCACTCTTTTATTCTCCCAGTAGCTGGGTTCCCCTTTTCTATTTTACTTCCTGTCTATTTTTCAAAACTCTGAAGGGACATGATAGGGTTCCCTCGAATGTCTGGGGTTTAGGGTGGGTCGTGTCATGAAGGGCAGAACAGGTACAGGCAGAGGCCTTGGAAAGGTTTGGGACAGTGCAGGACAGGTCTTCTCACAGATCCACGAGGGAACAATGCTTCAATCTGGTAAATGTTCTTTTGGTTTCTCCAAAGTTAATCAGCCTGAGGAGAACTGATTTACAGTTACCAAAATCACTTAAGATACTGTTTCAAAAAGATTGTCAATGTATTAATAAATGCTATACCTCATTTAATAATTGATGACCTTACTTATAGCCATAGATTTGAGGAGTTGAATTAGTTGTCAGAGAATTGCTTTGATCACCGTACATCAGAGCAAAAGAGAGGGGGTGGGGTGGGGAAAATGAATGGTTTTAGGGAGATTTCATTTAGATCAGGAAATTTGTTTTCCTAATGAGGGCCTTGTCTGCATGGTTATTAGTAATAGTGATTCAAAATCAAATCCACCTCTCATCAATGTGACATGGAGTCTGATAATTAACCTTCTGTCCAACTCTCCTTTTCACCTTTTCATGCCTGGGTAGAATGTTCACCTTAATTTCTGTTGTAACCTACTAATTACTTTCTAGCTACCCTAGAGTTCATTAATTTTTCATCAAAGGATAATTATTTTACTATAATGGTTTTGTAGTTCAGCTTCTACCTAATATATATGTTCAAATGTATTATAAGCTCTGCAATGTACTGACTGTGCCTCAGTTTATACACCTCAGATAGGTGTATAGATGACCTGGCTAGTGGTTGAGGGCTCTGGAGTCACGTAGAACCATCACGGACCCGCTGTGTAACTTTGGGCAGATTGCTCCATCTCAGCGAGCCTCGTCTTTCCTCCTTGAACTGGGACTATGTATGGTACTCACCTCTTAGGGATGTTAAGGATATTCCATTGAATAACCCATGAAAAGCACACCACATACTACCATGAAAAGCCTTAGGAAATGGGAGCTATCATTATTACTTTATCCCTCTGACTTCCTGATTCTTGGTCTATAGATCCAGCTGCAGACCTGGTTGAACCTACGGAGTGCTAATCTCAGCACCCCTCAAAGGCTTCTCCTCTTACACTGCTAGCACAAAAGCTTATTTTTACTGCAGTTTCTGCAGCACACAGTGGGCGCAGACATTTTAGTTTTAAACAATGCTATCGCTTTTTTTTAAACAATCGCTATCACCTTTTATGGAGGAAAAATATTCTCCAAACAACCAGATAACAAAATCTTTTTCTCATTTGTTCAAATATGTGTGCAATGATGAATTAAGAGCCTTCATCTGTTGATTTTCTGCATTACCCACCAGTAAAGTTTACACTGTAGGTTTTTTAATAGGAAAGAGAAAAATACATGGTGTTGACAAGCAGTATGTAAATGGGGGGAACGGGTGGTCTGTGAATAAGTGGACATGAAAATTACAAACCTAACATTTGGGGTGAATAAATATTGTGTGGGGTGGAGGGTTTGAAAAAAGTTCTTGCTCTAGTAACCCAGGCTGGAGTGCAGTGGCACTGTCACGGCTCACTGAGGCCTTGGCCTCCCAGGCTCAACTGATCCTCCCAACTCAGCCTCCTGAGTAGCTGGGATTACAGGTGTGTACCACCATGCCTGGCTAATTTTTTGTTTGTTTGTTTTTGGTAGAGATGGGATCTCAATATATTGCCCAGGATGGTCTCCAAACTCCTGGGCTCAAGCAATTCTCCCACCTTGGCCTCCCAAAGTGCTGGGACTACAGGTGTGAGCCACCATGCCTGGCCAATAATGCTTTTAAACTTCCAAATTAATAAGTGTTAAGAGAAAAAGAGTGGCAGAAATTGGAACTTCTGTATCACACTAGCAATCATAAAATTACCTTTCCAAAGCAGAACATATTAGACACACCTAATCCATTGCTGCTTAATTTTGGGGTGCTACTTATATTTCCATGCCAGCTGCATTTAGGAAACAGCTTTAGAAAAGTTCTTCAGAATCTGCCATAGGCAAGTAGCTCTGGTTCACCAATAATAATCAACATGCTGCCTCCAAATATACTAAGTTAAAAAATGACTTGAGCCCATTTTTCCATTAAGTTATAGTAGAATATGATCCTGGCACTGTTAATCTCCATAAATTCACTGAAGAGAAAACAATTACTTTCAAACAGACTATGAGGAGACTTAATATAGGTATCAATATTCTGATTGTTATTATATGCACATAATGTCTCTAACAAAACTATAATGTGAAAATAAGCCACCAATCCTTAGTGTGTGTAGTTGCTGGATTTTTTAAAAGATGAAAATCAAATGTGGGAGGAATCAAGATTGATTATACATGTCAAGGACATCAGTTCTGCTTGAACACTGATTAAGTGATTAATGAAGTACTGCCAGAATTACTAAATCTCTTTGCAGGAAAATGTTATTATACTTCCCTTCATAATTATAAGTTTAGGAGGAGAAAAAGGATTGATTTATTAGAAGAAACTTATAAGCTAATTTCTATCCTCTTTTTTCTAAAATAAAATCCATGGAAGACAGTGGTTCTACTTTCTACTTCTGAGTTCCTTTAGGAGGAGATCATTTCAGATCCACTCTTTAGCCCCATAAGACAATGTGTACTCCTCTAAGGAGTGGGAGGAGAATGTTTCATTGATCAACTGTTAAACCAAAGTTTAGGGTATTACCTTTATGACTGCGTATGGAACATTCATTCCTTCAACTAGCTTTCATTGGATGCCAGCTACTTCATAGACACTGGGTAAGATGCTAGAGATAGAGATAAATTATTTGCCTAAATATCTGTCCTTTGAAACTGTGTATATTTGTTCTGGAATCATGGGAATTTGGCTAGCTAATGAAAAGAAGGGAGTTCCATTAGTTCCAAAGAAAACTTTATAATTGCATTCAAAATAAGCCCTTAATGGTGGGGCGTGATGGCTCATACCTGTAATCCCAGCACTTTGGGAGTCTAGAGCAGGGGAATCACTTGAGGTCTCTACTAAGAATACAAAAATTAGCTGGGCTTGGCGGTGCGTGCCTGTATTCCCAGCTACTCGGGAAGCTGAGGCACAAGAATCGCTTGAACCCAGGAGGTGGAGGCTGTAGTGAGCCAAGATCATGCCACTGCGCTCCAACCTGGGGGACAGAGTGAGATTGTGTCTCAAAACAAACAAACAAACAACAACAACAAACTGATACAATAAGCTCTTAAAAACAAGTGATAACACTTATAAGTGGGAGGTGAACAATAAGAACACAGGGACACAGGGAGGGAAAGAACACACACCGAGGCCTGTGGCAGGGGAAGGGAAAGCATCAGGATAAAGAGCTAATGCATGTGGGCTTAATACGTAGATGTTGGGATGATAGGTGCAGGAAACCACCATGGCACACATTTCCCTACGCAACAAACCTGCACGTCCTGCACATGCATCCCGGAACTTAAAATAAAATAAAAAATGATTTTAAAAGATTTTAAAAACTAAGTGATAACAAATAAGAGAAAGAAAATAACCCAAAATTTAAGACACCGAACTGGCTCTTCAACTGATGTCACATGTGAGTTGGACAGGACCCCTCAGTGTCACCAGACTCTGAGCAGGGAGCGTGCACACACATATACTTGCCCACTTTCTAGGGAGGACATAGCAGGGCAGTGCTGGAAGGAAGACAGGTGTGGCAGAGGAGACTCACTTCACCCATGAACCCCGAACCATGAACTTCAGAGCTGGGTGGAACTGTAAAAATTATTTAACTGAACCAATCTTTTACTTTTTTTTTTTCAAATTCATT